GGCCTGTTGTGATTCACAAGAATTTTCTGTTTCCTTCTCCTCCCTACCCTGCTAAAAGTACCCTTAAAATCTCACTCTGTTTATGGTACAAAGTCTTGGCCAAGATATTGCAGCTGATCCGTACACCCAGAGCTTCTCATCTCCAGTACCTGGACACCCAGGTTTGGACTTGTCTGTTTTGAGCTGCCCACAAACCTCATGCAAGAATCTCCTTTGTGAGAGCCTCAGAAGCCAGAGCATTATTTTACAGCTGTTGTTCCCCTTTCTCACCTGGACAGCACAGATGCCTTTCTCCATCCCTGGCCACCATCCTGTTGACCTTTCTTGGGATTCCCACTCATTTCTGCTTTGCCTGGGATCAGTCCTGTGGCTCTGCAGCTCGCCAGGACTGAAGGAGGATCGGGGATGCCCATGGACAACAGGGCTCTTCCAAGGCCGGTGGCTGAGCTCTGTCCCAAAAGGAGCCCCTCAGCAGCCTTCAGGACACCCTGAGCTGTTTCCCCTTCCCTTCTCAGGAGCAGGGGTGGACACTAAGTGCTGCTGGCAAGTCAACAGGCATAGGCCAGGCAGGGCTGGGTGCCTGCACACCCATGTTCACCCATGCTGTGGTTCACAGGCTGAGCCCATTTTTAATTTATTTATTTTACAAACAAGCTAACAATTCGACTCAATTATTTAGGGAATTTGATTACTTTTGCTGTCAGTGCAGTCATCGGGGAGGATTAGCCCTGTTTCAGCCCCTCATCAGCAGTGGTGTCCCACATCACACGCTGCTCCTGCTCAAACCCCACTCCCTCAGCTGGCACCCCTTTGCTGTCTCTGGATGAAACTGATGACAAAACATGTGAGGGAACACAGCCACCCTCCCTCCCTCTCTCCCCATGACTTTTGCTACAGCATTGCTGCAAGTTGTAGCTGTCAGCAGGGGAGTACACTCATCAGGGGACTCCAGCCATAATCGCTGCAAAGCAGATGCGTGGATCTACGTCCTGGATGCTCCCCAATATCAAATCACAGCAGGGACCCAACTAATACTCTTGTTCCCTCTCCTGAAAATGTGAACACCCACTGAGAAATCCTTGGTGAGGGAGGCTCAGACAGTGCTCCCGACCTCTCAGGACGAGAGGCAGCCAAAGCTTTGGTCCCCAAAGCACCTGAACTGGCAGTGCTGTCAGGGCCGTGCTCGCCATGGGAGCCACGTCATGAGCATGGTCAAAGATCCCCCTGCCTTCATCTCTACAGCTGTTGGAAGTGGCCTCGTGCACAAAGGGCAGTGTCCTCATTAAATCCCACAGAGGGTTGCCATGTGGCCAGCAGAAATTTTGTTTTGTTTTATTTTGGGAAGCAGCACAGTAATATATTCACCACCTTCAAACGTAATGGGGTGACAGACGGGAGCTGGGCCCTGGCTTTCATGGGAAAGGCTCCACTCAGCAGGAAAGCAGTATGTTTCCCACCTAATCCTCTGCAACCTTCAGACTCCTAACAACTGTAAGAAGCAAAGCAGTGGTAGTTATTAAATTAATTACTTCATCCCCAAGTTGGTAATAAATATTTTATAGTTTTATCTCTCCACCCTGTAGACTGCTCTAGACAGACCAGACTGTTTATTAATCCAGCTTCTGGATTTATGTTGTTTAATTGCTAAACAGCCTCAGCATGGTTAGGTTGGATTATTAAATGTTGGAGTCTGAGTAAGATTCCTTTAACAAATGGCAAAACCTGAGGAGCTTGATCTTGGACTTGGCTTATCAAAACAAACTTCCCCGCAGTGCTAAGGCCAGGTTAGCTCCTGTTTGAGTCAAAAACATTCAACCATTGCCTCATGCTCAGTGTAGATGGACTTTGGGACTTGTTGTGAGTAAAGAAGAGGCAAGGAAGAGTTCTGGCACATCCTGGTTTCAATAAGGATGTGCTGGTGTTAACCTGCAGTGGGCAGGATGCTGCAAGGGCATCTTAGCATGGACAAGTTCTTCTGGGAAGCTCAGGCAGAACGTGTCTCTTTGTTCTACCCCTTTGTGGCTCTTGTTTCTTTGGGTCATCACAGATAGTCCCTGTCATTTAAACAAAAGAGCACTGCAGTCATGGATATGATGGCAGGCTTTAGAGGTTCTTATACTTCTTTGTTGACAGGGTCAAAAATGTCTTTAAAACAGATACTGCCATTTCTACAACAGCTGCTGGTTTATTCATCCCACTGAGGTATAAAGGCAGCTGGAATAACAAGAGCTATTTGTCTGAAGAATGCATCATCCTTGTGCTTTCCAAAGCCTCAGTCCCGTGAGCCCTTCTGTACAAAGCAGGAGGTCGTTTCAGGATATATCTTCTCATAAAAGTGTAGGAGAAATGAGTGTGCTAACAAGTAGAGGCCAGAGCCTTTGAATCCAACCAAGCTGTTCTGGAGAAATTTCCAGCTCAGGGCTGCTCTATTGGCTGCAGTGTCATCTCAAGCCCATCCCATTGCTCCCCAGCCTCACATTGTCTTTCTGAGGCCCAGGAGGGATGAATTTGATGCTAAATGGCATCTCTGAAGAGCAAAGTTGCTTTCTCTCCCCAGGAGCCTGATGGGAACAAGCCGACCCCTTCCTGACCACCCAGTGTTTTGCAGGACTCCTTGGTTGTGGGAGCAGGGTGAGGTGGTTCTGGCCTTCACTCAGAGGAGTTGTGGGGCAAGGGGAACAAAAATCAGAAAAATGCATAAGGCTGGGAAAGAACCGCCCCCGTTTCTGCTTACAGCTGAAAACCATGGCTGGAAAGCCTCCCTGGGAGAGATCAGGTCAATGCTGAGGAGTGGAAGGTATCACTGGAGGAATGGGTCATTAGCAGCTTTTAACAATTATCAGCAGCATCGGTGAGGCCAAATGACTCTCGTTGGTCAATGGTTTATCCATGTGTTTAGAGGCAACTATATGCTGACGGGCATCTTTTCCGTGGCATCCTTGAAGCCAAAGGCCCACTCTGCTCTGACATTCCAATGTCACCCTATGCCCTGTTGGAGGAAGCTTAAGAGCTCTCCTAAGCACACCTATAAACTGACAGTGTACTATCTTAAACCAATTCAATTCCCTTCCCTGCGATAAAGGACGCCAGTTCCGAGAAGATAACATCTCCCAGTGATGGCTCCCCGAGCTGCACTTTAGCACAAATCTGAGCGCTCTATAATCCAGCTCAGCCAATTCGTTAAGGAAGGACAGGCAAGCACGTCTATTAGCTCAATCATCATAATCAAATATCGGCACAAGGAACTGCTCAGTGTTGCAAAGTCGAGCGAAACCCCCATAAAACAATTATGTGCCCTTCAGGAAAACAGCGTGCCAGCCGGTGAGGTGAACATGAGTACGACTGCTTTTCTTCCTCTGAGAAAAAGGCAAAATCCCATCAACTCCAAGTTAAGTCCAGCAAAGCCTCAAAGACACTTTGTTTTTGGGACTCCTGGGCAAGCTGGGCTCCATCTCCAGCAGTCCTCGTTGCTGGGGGTGTTTATTCTCAGGGACCACTGGCTACAGGATCCTAAGCCTGTCCCAAGCTTCTGCTGGTGGTCCTGCACCAGGACATCTTGAAGACTGTAAATGAAGGCAGAAAAAACTTCCGGTGAACACCCATGGCCATGCACATGCTCAAGAAAAGGCTTCAGGAAATCTACCTTCTACCCAAACTTTTCTCCACATTTTTCTGACTACAGTTCTTACCTTTTCAGCTCTGTTTTACTCTGCCCCTTCACTTTCATGCCTGTGGTAGGGCCACCTCCTTTTGCTGAAACCCAGCAGTGCTTGTGCTTCTGTGCAGGGACAGACACAGAAGTTCAGTTCAGTTAATCAGACAACTGAATTTCTTAGTGATGAACCTGCCTGAAATTCCCATTTGATCCAATTCACACAGCTCCAAATGGCCTTAACATGATTTACATTATTTCACCTCTGCTACAGCAGAGCAAAACTGAATTTTGGCAACTTTAGAAATTATCCAACACAGAGATCAGTGAAAAATTTTCTTCATTGCTACAGCTTCAAAACATAAACTCTTACCAGAGAAAAGGCTCCGTTCTTCCAAGAGGGCAATCTGTGAACATCACAGTTGGGTTGATGCAACAGATCAAATCTTGTTGACAAATATCAGTTTTTGAAATTTTTTTGGAAATCCAGGAGGAAGAAGTGTCCATCTCTGTGTTGAATCCCAGGGCTGGCATCTCCTGTACTGCTTCTGATGGCATCTCCTCTGCTCACACACCACCTGTGGAAGCACAAAACCACAAGATCATGAAATCCTAGAATGGTTTGGGCTGGAAGGGCTTGTAAGGATCATCTCGTTCCAACCCCCTGCTATGGACAGGGACACCTTCCATCAATCACGTTGCTCCTGTATAACCTGGCCTTGGACACTTCCAGGGATGGGGCAGGCACAGCTTCTCTGGGCAACCTGTGCTAGGGCTTCACAACCCTCACAGGGAAGAATTCCTTCCCAATATCCCATCTAACCTTGCCCTCAGTCAGTGTGACTCCAACCCCCTTTTCTTGTCCCTGCACACCCTTGCCCCAGGTCCCTCTCCGTCTGTCTTGGGCAACCTTCAGACACTGGAAGAGGCTTTTTTTTTCTCTTTTCCAGGCTGAACACCCCCAGCTCACTCAGCCTGTCTCCATAACAGAGGTGGTCCTGCACTCCTGGGGGGGGCAGGGGGCAAGTCCTGCCCAGAGGAATTCTGCCTCCAGCCTTCCTGGGACTTGCAATTCCCATCCCAGCACCAGTGAGATTTTAAGCACCTGCTTGGCTGGAGGGTGGCAGCTCCTTCTTCTCCAAAGCCTTCAGAGATGCCAAACCTAAATTCTCGTTAAGTCCCGCAGCTTAGGAGGTGGGAAGAGCCAGGTGGGAGGTGCACGGTCCCTGGCTAGGACTGCAGGAGAGCAGGGACACACTGACCACCCCCAAGCCACGGTGCAGGACAAGGGCAAAGCCCAGTGGGGACACATTGGCAACAGCTTGAAGAAAGACCATAGCAACTAAAGTCACAAACAGAACTGGGTTTTATTATGAAATAACCCTGCCAGTACATAAGGAAGTTCTGTCTGCAAAATACATTTCCTGAGGAAAGTAGATCACAGTATTCGTTTTCACAGAATAACATGTAGCCTGCTATAACTTTCAATGTGACTCTTTATTATTTAAATATTAACAGTATTCCTTCACATAAACAAGTACTCAGTCATCACGTAACCAACACACAAACAACAAAATAAATATACAACAAGAGCACAGTTCATTTTTTTCCCGACTTAAATATTAAATAAATAATAAATACAGAATTTTCATTTCCTGTTATCAGTGCCTGAAACAATATGAATGAAAAAAAAAGAAAAACTGAAAAAGTCTCTCTTCCCCCCAGTGCCCCTGCTCCCACAAAAAAACAAACCAAAAAATTATCAAAATGTCTCAGTTATAAAATATCTTTAAAAAAATTCCCATCATTAAAAGAATAAATAACAAAATATATAAAAAATAACTTGGTTGCATCAAAATTACAAGTAGGAGTTGTAGATAGGGGTTTTTATTTTTTTTTCTTTTTTTTTGGAATATTATTTTTTTACGGTCAAAAGTTTTAATTTTTAACTTTTTTTTTGCTTCTTTTATCTTCATTTCTATGGTGCAGTGTCCAGTTTAAAATAAGTATAAAATTAATAAATAAAAAAGTTAAATAAATAGCAAAAAGTTAACATAAGGTGTTGTAAATATAAATTACATACATCTTGCCAAAATTAAATAATTTACAGCATAATTAAACTAACTACTTTTTTTTTTCTTCTCTTTCTTCCAGTAAGTGCAATTTCTCTACTTTTAAATACTAACTGAATTGCAGTCACAATCAATTTGGACTCTATTTACATGTTAAGAATGTTGTGTTTTTAACACCTCAAATTTTATACTTTTTTTCCCTTTTTTTTTTTTTTTTGCATTTTTGCACTTGGAATGGGTTCTAAAATAAGTGAACTCCTGGAGTCTGATCCTGAAAACACTTAAGTATGGGAGCAAGCCCACCCAGGCCTACTGCCCTATGGAATTTAACACAGGGAACAACTCCAATCAAGCCACTCATGGGCTTCCAGGCCAGATCCAGTGGCCATGGTAGCCACTGGGACTTTCCACTGACTTCCCCAAATCGAGAATTATACCCTAAATATCCGCAGGATTTGGCTTGAAATGACACCACACTCTTGCCTTTTGTTGGGGTCAACAAGATCCTCTGCAGCTCTGCCTGCCCCATGGCCGGGCGTGATGCGGGATATGGGATGTGGGATATGGGGTGCCCCCACGCTGGGGCCCCTTGGGAGGTTCTGCCCCACTGAAGTGTTTGGAGAAGGAAGTGAGCTCCAGATGGCAGCAAAGGTGGGGAGCAGCCCATGGGGTGACAGCCGGCCCTGGCCATGGAGCAGCGCTGCAGAGCGGCGCCCCAAAGACATTCATAGAGTTGTTCTCTAAATGCACAGAGGGCTGCGTGTACCCAGCTGCTTACAACTACTTCTTTGGAAGAATTCCCAATACCTGAATCCTCTTTTATTTTTCCTTTTTTCCCTTTTTTTTGTGGCAGAATGGTGCTGGCGCTGTGATTTCGTGCAAATCCTAGAACATCAAACCAAACCATCCTCATTGCCCTGTGGATATGTGTAAGAAATCAACTCCTGGTTCACGCTACTTAAGCACTTTTCTGGCCATAAATTAACATCTCTATTTTTGTTGATTTTTGCTTATTTTTTGATTTGATTTGTTTTGTTTTGTTCATCTCAATCTCAACCATTCTCTGGCATTGATGTATGATCTCTGGACTGGCAGTACTGCGCCACTGTAGGGATGATCACAATAATGAAAAGAACCAGAACTGTCATCAAACAGATTTCCAAAAAATCATATACACCGGACCATGACACATTAAAGAAATTCTTCTGTTTGAAATATCTGGAATTGGCCTATTCATAATAGCTACTCTCATATTTAAGACAGACAAAGGAATACTGTAGTTGCAAACTCCAAAAGCTTCCCTGAGAACCTTTTTTCCATTGCGCTTTCCACTGGAGATCCAGAACTGCTCTTCAGATTTCTTTCAGAAAATAAAAATAAGCTACTTTATAATACTTCAGAGTTCCCATGCCCAGTGGATATCTGAACACTTTGGGATTGGGAGGCCCAGCATAGGTTCAGATTTACAGGTAGCTTGCAGCTCCAGCACTTGTAGCAACACAGAACATAACTCATGTGTGAGTAGGTGATCTGGACATACGACCATAGACAACATGAGGGTTTAAGCCAGTCATACACTAGTCTCGGATCAGACAAGACCCTGTTCTTGTAACGTTTTAACCCTTGGATCTATTCTGCAAGAACAAGCAACTCATGGAAGGTGCTTGCTCTTCACCTGCTACCAAGCCCCACAGCCTACTGGAGAATTTAATCTTCCATCCTGATCTACCTCGTGGTCAAGGTGGAAAAAAATCCCACATTTCTCAAGAAGGTCCAAAGTTAAGTAAACGAGAACATTGAGTTTGATCAGTTCCATGTCTCAGAAATGGCCTCTTGGTTACATTTTGGTCCTTTTTTCTTTCTTTTTTTTTTCATTCATTAAACAAGTTTTCTAACTTGTAAACCTGAATACTTGGAGGGGAAGTTCCATCTTACAGTCTGTTTGCTTGCTGCTCTCCATCCCATGGCACTACACCTGGATGCCCTTGACAGCTTGCTTGATGCTCTCCAGCAGGTCCTTGTTCTCCGGGTTCTGGTAGCACTCCTGGTTGGTGTACATGTCTGTCAGTGTATTCACATAGGCATCAAAGTTCTGCTCACTAATTGGGTCCTTCAGCCAAAAAAAAAAAAAAAAAAAGGTCAAATAAAATTGTTAGTAGAAGAGCAGGAAGAGGATGAGAGTCTTTACCATAAATCATCTGGGTATTTTAGTGCCCAGAGAAGTTGTGGGCTCTTGAAAGTGCTCAAGGCCGGGCTTGGAGAAACCTGGTCTAGGGGAAGGTGTCCTTATCTACAGCAGAGGGCTTGAACAATGTGAGTTTTAAAGTCCCTTCTGACCCAAACCATTCCATTATTCTCTTTATGTACTGACAGCCAAAGGTCTCCATATCAAAGGCTTTCTGTGTGCAGTGCTGCATCTTCAGGAATCTCATCATCGCCCTTAATCCACCGGATCTTAACCAGGTTCTTAATTTTATGCACTGGCCTTGTGGAGCTATTAACAGCATCAGGTTAAGTGTGTTCAGGCAGCCTGACAGGCTGGAGGCTGAATTAAGGAATGGAACTGAAGGGCTGGAGGACAGCAGGACTGCTGAAACATCACGGAGGGAACCAAAGGCAAAGTTGGGTCACCTTGGGCTCACAGCTGCCCAGCCCAGCACTCTGCTGAAGTACAGCTTCTGCTTTTTAGGGGCATTGCAAGTATCTAACTTGGGCTTAATGGGGAAAAAAGAGAAGGGGAAGGAAGAAAGAACAGGAATAAAATGAGCATAAAAGTCTCATGGGCATCATTTAATTAGAGATGCCTGAAACCTTGAAAAAATATTTGCTGAACAGTTTATTTGACCTTTATGTGTCAAATACCTTACAAAAAAGCTCTCAGCGAGTGGTTTTCTGCCAGTTAGGCAGCTGGGTGAATACTATCCAAAACTGCTCTGCTGGAGGATGGCTTCTCTCCAAGCAGCCTGAATTTAAATACAAACCCCAATGAAAAGGATTCCCAAAAAAAAAAAAAAAAAAAAAAAAAGGAAGAATAAAATAAATCAAAAGCTCGTTCCTCTGATCATTGCAATGGTCTTTATGAGTTGTAAGAGGACAGCTTCCTCAACAACACGAGCCCCACCTCCACACACCTGGTTTTGGCAACAGTAATTACATTCCTGGGAATAGAGAGAAGGTAATTAATAGCCTTTTGTGGTTTTACTATTTTAATGCAGTCTTTTCATTTCTCAGTAACTCTATGGTAACATGCTGTGGGCTGTTAGACCTTGTTAAATTAAACAAAATACACTCTCTTTAAGAATGCTATTCTTTAGCTGCCAGCTATTCAAAACTGAATTGAAACTACCTGCATTGTAATAGGAGCCCTAAGATCTTTCTGACGTTGAAATCCAATCCCTCCTGATCTCTGCTTGTGCTGTCTTAGCCTAAAAGGCACTGGGTGCCCTTGATAAAGTTTCCTATTTTGTGGTAGTGCTCCCAGATGTAATGAGACAGAACAATAGATAAAAAGGGAGATCAGCAGAAAATGACAACAAAAGGGAGATACAATGCAAGCTTCAGAGATAAGGGAAAGGTACTGATCTTTTAAAGGACACCTAGGTGTACAGAAAGAAATCCCCCCACTCTTTAATTGTGAAAAAGCTTTATCGTGTATTGGGTTTGCCACAGCTCCCTTGATGACACCAGCTTGTGTTGAGAACTGTCAAAGTTTCTTACCATGTGTGGAAGGCGGATGTTGGCAAGACTTTGGATGAGAGCCTGGCTCAACCCTGAGAGCTCCAGGAACAGGGCTTCGTTTTGCTCCTCTATGATTTTGTTTTCCTCCTCAATGTTCTTCAGGTTCTTCTCCATGGTGGAGATCTGGAGAGCAAGGAGCACAGCAGGGTTACCAACCCTCACCAGTGGCACCCACCAACACCCATCACCGCTGGGTTTGAATGCATGGCCAAGGACACAAACCTGGGACTGCAGTTTCACCATGGCTGCTTCCATCTCTGAGTTGGACTCGTTCAGCTCACTGATCTCCTTGTTCAGCTGCTTGATTTCCTCATCGTTCTCCAGAACTGCAGGAGGGAAGGTCATGGGCAGTCAACAAATGCTCTTGGGAAAAGCAAAATGTTGGGCTTTCTGCTGAGCCCATCCTGCTGCACTGTCCTTACCTTGGCTTTTACAGCCTCAAAACAGGATGTACCTCTCACCTGCCTTTTTCTTTCTTTTTTTTTTATAATTAATATTTTTATTATCACAGCTCAGTGATACTTGAACAGGTCAATATGTAAATGCAAAAGCAGAGGACAGCAGAGCAGTTGGAGTCCAACACATCCCCACACCCAGCAAGGTTGATGATCCTGAGCAGTCAGGTCATTCTCTCCGATCCACGAGTTTGGAATGATGCCATTTAAAAAACTAATGCATATCTAGATGGGAAATTATAGGTCCATAAAATAAAGCAATATTTCTAGAGGAGTGCAGGTATTTATAGGTTCCAAACTATCAAGTTCAATGCTTGAACCTTGTCAAATACCACAGAAAGCTCAGTAATAGCACTGGAAATGCAAAGTGCCATCGCTAACAAAATTCCAGATCCAGAAATATCTCAGTACTAAAAGCCCTGAATAGGTGAAAATCGCTGAATGACTGCAAGGGATTTGTAAAAATGCCAGTGAATATATGGGAAAAAAAAAAAATCTGAATTTCAGCATTACTTCTTTTGCCTTCTTTATTGTTGCTCCCTTAAAATGTGTGACTCAAGGAGTGCGACTGGTACCATGCCACCACAAACACCCAGAAAACACAAGGAAAGGGTCTTCAAAGTACACGATGTCCTTGAAATCTTTGCCCAGATTTCAGCTTAAGCCTCCTCAGTCTAAAAAAAAAAAGATCTATGGGCTCAACATCCTGACACATCTGCAAATCAAAGGAGTGAAAAATCTTACCATCACTAGTCTTGAACTTTGTGTTGAGAATTTCATCCCCTGAGAGTTTTCCTTTCTTCCCAGCAAAAGTAGCTCTTGGACACCCTGACAAACTGAAAAACAAGTAAAAATGGGTTGCATAAACTCTCAGTATTTATAGGTGCTTATGTTCCCAATGTAAGAACATGTGCCATTTGGTGGAATTCAAGCTGCGAGACAGTTCTTCTAAAAGCTTTTTATGGTACAGAGGAAATAGCTTTTTGAATAATGCCTCAAAATGCCCCATTTATAAAGTGAGAGCAATTTTCTTTGAGCAAAGATTAAAAACACATTGCTTCCTAAAAGAGGAGGTGTGCCAGGTGAGGAGGGTGAGATGAGTCGGGTTGTCGTGGGCACCAAGCTCCTATTTGCGGTGCTCAAATTCTGTTCCAGCATGCAAATAGAGATTTAGATTAGAGGTTAGGAAGAAATTCTTCCCTGTGTGAGTAGTGAGGCCAGAGCTGCCCAGAGAAGCTGTGGAAGATTGCTGGAAATATCCAACGCCAGTTTGGATAGGACTTGGAGCGACCTGGGATAGTAGAAGGTGGTGGAATGAGAAGTGGAAGAGGGTTAGAATGAGATGGGGTTTAAGGTCCCTTCCAACCCAAACCATTCTGCGATTCTGTGAATATTAAAACAACCACACATTTTCTCCATTCAGTAAACGTCAACCTGACTAAACTCAGCATCAAAAGCACCAGTTCTTGAGCCTCACATGCAGAGCTGAACGTGGCTCAAGCAGCATCTTGGGGCAGGTCCACAGCAAAATCATCACACTCACGCTGACTCGAACCCCAGGATTTACCTTCTGTGAGTGAGGAAGCTCCCGTTGGCGTGGCCAGAACCGTCACAGCCTGGGGTGGGGCAGGTTGGGCCTTCGTTCTTCAAGGACTTCCAGGAGAAGGAGGAGCCGTTGAGCGATCCTTCCTTCTGCCTGCGGGCTGCCAGCGGGCACCCGGAGGCGCTCCGGTGAGACGCGTACTTGCCACTGATGTGTCCCAGCCCGACACAGCCCGGAACAGGACACCTGGGCACGGGGAACCACCCAAAGTTACAGCACGCCATCAAGGGGGAGGAACAGAAGGAGCAATAAAGGTGTAAGGAAATTATTGATGAGCAGGAATGAGGAAGCCTGGGAAGAGAGCATTTGCATTTGGGCCTTGTCTGGAGTTTATAGGGGAGATACTTGGTTGATGGAAATAGCAGATGGGAAATTAAGAGCTACGACTGCTCCTTCTAAAGAGCCAAAGAGAGTCAAGGAGAATTCTGCAGGAGGGAAGCCTGTGGAGGTCATGTCACATGCAGCAAATGTAGGTCCCAGTGGTGTCAGAAAACACCATTTGGTGCCTCACTGGGGACACAAATGGCAGGTTGGGCTGCCTGACATGGGATCCTGATGTACCCCAAGGCTGACACTCACACTGAGCCACCACACACGTACTGCTGGCTCTGCCCAGTGCCACTGCTGATGAACCAGGCTCATCTCTGATCACCCTGCACCGGCACAGTCAACACAGCATAGGAGCACCATCTGTGCCCTTGGGCACACAGCCCTCCCCAGGAGCCAGACCCTGAGCCAGGAGCTCTTCAGGCTGTGCACGAAGAGCTGCAGCCCTGTTCCTGCCAGGAGGGCATTTGAGGGGTTTCTGAGCCTGCACTCTGTCAGACAGGACAAACCACTGGGCCCCACTCTGCAGCCACAGCATGGCCTCACTTGCCTCCTCCTCCTCCTCCTGGTTCACATCCTGCCTCTCTGGGGAGATCAACCCACGCTCTCAAGGGGATAAAGTGAGAATTATCATCAAGGCAGCACATGAGCCCTGCCCTTACTTCTGCCTCTTTATGGCCTGTTGAAACACACAGGAGCTGTGAGGAGCCTTGTGGAAGCACCAACACAACTTGTGCTACTGCCCAGCACACGAGTGGCTCTCTAAAAGTCACCTCTTTCCACCCTTCTCACCTAATGGCATTCTCCCTAAATCCAGCCATCCTACAAGCCCACTGTACCTATCAGGGTTTCTGCTGTGGTTTGCATTTGCTTTAAAAATGCTTGTCAATTGTAAATACACTTAAAAGTTTATTACTCAAGGGAGGTTACTCAAAAATAGGAGAGGTGGAAGGAGGTAAGAAATTACAAAAATAGCTCCCATGTCCTTAGTTTGGAAGCAATTAGGGACTTTGAGGCTCTCCAGCAAAAGCATTCACGGAGCTGCTCCTGAAAATCACAAGCTGCATTTCACCGCAGAAATTATTGCCCTTATTGTTTACATTCCACACAAAAGGGAGATGACAGCAAAAGGGGGGCCCTACACCCAGCCTTTTCCCAAGATAATTTGAAAAATGCTGATCTCGATTTTAATCAGCTGCAAATGCAGCACAATTCACTTATAATATTCCTGCCAGCAGGATCCTCAGTAAATTCATAACATCATTGCTTTTATATGATCACGAGCAAATTACTGAATCCTCAGGAGGAAAAGGAGAAGGGGGAGAGGGGGGAAGAGCAAGAGAGAAATAGACAAACCCCAGCATTTTGTATGCAGCCGTTACAGCCCAACCATTACATATTTTACACCGTTAATTTAACTTTTATTACATTTTCATTGTTAAAAAATAAACCAGAGCCTTATTGTGCAAAACAGCTGTCTTGGACATATTTTAATTTTTTTTTAACATTATTATTATTTAATGGGAGCCCCAGTAGCGTTTGATCAATTAGACACCTGTGGATGCTTCCACTGCATGGGCTGGGCTGAAGGTTGAGGTGATCTGTTCAATCACATCTGCAGCAAATTACTTGAAGGATGAACAGCACAAACAACAGGGACTAAATGACTTTCTCCTCGGTGACGATGTGCAACTCTCGGCTGGGTTCCAAGTGGAGCTCAGTGCAGACAGAGGAAGGATTTAGAGCCAAATCTCCTTAACATAAACCCACACCAGGCACACCTTGCCATGGGTGGTGGGACAAGCACTGCCACAGGCTGGGGGGAGGCACCAGCCAGGGATTGTTGTGCCACATTGTTTTGCACATCTCAGAGGAGCTTCTGCTCCTCCTGGGTGTACTGGAAGGGGAGGGGTTGCTATCTGGGTCATGGGATGTTAGGGAATGCCTTCTCCTGCTGCTGCTGCAGAGACCCTCACAGCCCATCTCACATTTCCTGCACCCATGTCCATGGTTCCCCCAAGACCTGTCTGGGGGTGGATGGCACCAGCTTTCTAGGAGTCAGAAAATCCAGCCCCATTTGGAGCCTGGAACCTAGAGAATCTATGGATACCCCACCCCTGGAAGTGTCCACAACCAGAGTGGATGGGTCTTTGAGAAATCTGGTCTAGTGGAAGGTGTCTCACCCCGTGGCAGAGAGTTGGAATGAGGTGAGATTTAAGATCCCTTCCATCCCAAACAATTAAGTGATTTCTTGCAAATTTTTCTTCCTAGTGTTTGCATCTTTAGAGTGGACTAGGAGAAACCCAGCCCCTGGTGAGGATGCTGGTGGGAACCCTCACTCTGCTGTGGGTGTCCTGCCAGCCCACCCCGTGTGCCCCACAACAAAACAGCCACATAAAACTCCTTTCTCCTTGCACTGGGAAGAGATTTCTGTGCAGAGAAACCACACTGGGGAATCTGCTTGGCACATTTCTGCCCTGTCCTGCCCTGAGTGGGGAAGGCACAAATGAGCAAAACCAGCCCCACAGGGCAGGTGTCCCTGGGGAAACCATGGGGAGGGGTGACCTCCCAACTGGGGGCTCCAACCGTGGTGAGAGCAAAGGTACAACAGCCAGCAGCTGCACATCACCAATTTGCTGCCTTCCCTTCCCTTCCCTGTGTCACTGGTTAATGGCACAGCCTTGCAACACCACCAGCAATTCAGTGTATTTGAGCCAAAAGAGGCTTTTTTCCTGCAGATTCTCGAGTAGGTTGCTTAATTTTTAATAAACTCTGCAAACTCCTGCTAATTATCACACGGCTCATTTAACTGGGAGGCTTTCCTTCCTGTAGACTGAGGAGGAAGAACAGAGCAGATGGCTGAAATATCATCTTTTTCTGAAAGGTCCTTCCCCCCCAGCAGGCTCATCCCAGCTTCCCACAGCCTCTGCAGGGTTCTTCCACCCCCACTGGGTCCTGCTTTGGCTCAGCCTCTGCTCCGGGCCAAAACCTGGGCACATGGAGATATCCACCTCTGCTCCTCTGTGAGGGTAAGACCTGCCCTGGGAGTTAAGTATTTTAAAAAAAGATCCACTTGGAGACAGTCTGCTGAGCCAAAGGCACTTGCTGGATGAGTGTACAGGCTTCAGAAAGGCTGGAGATGCTCTGAGGTAACAAAAAAAAAAACAAAAAAAAACACAGGGTCCTGGAGTCAGTGCTGCCTTTCATGTCCTGTAGCTGTGTAAGAAGATACAGATCCCAGACCCCACATGCTGAGCCTGTGATGTTCAGACTTGCTAAAAGTCAGGACAAATGAATTTCACAGCTCATGAAAACTCCTGAGGTGGACTAAGCAATTTCAAATCTCTATTCCCCACAGGAATAAACCCCCTGGGATGTTTTGAAAACTTCAGCCTGAGGCAGCAGAGAGGGTTTTTTTTTCAGTTCACTTCAAATATTCTGCTCTGGCAAAGACTCCACAAAACACAGTTTATTCAGGGTTACCAGCTCCTGACCCAACTCAGTGCTGGGTAGGTTCTACTTCTGCAGTGCTCCTGGCAGTTAAGCCAGTCCATCAGCCTTTGCCTACTCATTGCTTCCCAAAAACCTGCAATGTTTGTCTTGACTGTGGGGCTTTACCTTCATTTACAGCACTGGGGTGGTTTTCCAGGAATGATATAAAGTACAGACAACAGAGAAACTGTTCGTGCCCTACCAACTTACCTTTCATGTCTGCAAGAAAGCAACACCATTACCTCCCCACCACCCAATTTTTCCATCAAACATCAAAATTACAACACCAAAACATAGCAAAGAGCTTTGGTAGAGGATGCTCAAAGCAGCACAGGCGAGGGGGGATGTGGGGTGGCTGCTGAGTGATCCCCCACATAAATCTGTGTGAGGTAAAGTGGATGGAGTGACGAGCTCTGCTCAGGAGTTATTTCCAGACTTACTTCATCAGCTCTGGGTCCTCTTTATCATCCTTTGTCGGGGTGATCTTGATCCCACTTTTCTTGGCACGAGGGCAGCCTGACAGACTGTGGTTAAAAAGAGAAGAAAGGCCTGTCTCACTGGCAGATTCTGCATTTGCTATTCCCTCGCTTCAGTCATCTTTCCCTTGAATTTGGCACAGTGTTTTTGATCTCTCTCGTTTTGCAGCTTCACATCACGAGGAGAAGTCAGAAGAAAAAAAAATAGTAAAAAATTGAGGGAGATGGACAGTAATTAATGGTGTCTAGATAAGAAGATATCTGCTAACAGCCTGCAATGTTTAATGGAATTGTTGAAACATAAGGCTGAGATCTGTGCTATTAATGTTCTAAAGTGATAATAGGAGTCATAAATAGGTAGCAATATTAACAGGAACATTGCATCAGCTAAAATCTGACCCTTTGTCTTTTATTCTGTTGAAAGGAGCTTCTAATCAGATTCTGAAAACATCAGAAAAATAAAAAAAAAGAAAGTCAGATTAAAGAGATGAAAATAGGCTTCAGTTGTCAGTAACATTAATGTTTTATTCAGAACTTTACAACTCTGCCCACTGCAGGGAAAAAAAAAAAAAAAAAGAAAGCAGCACAGAAAGAGGCGAGAGAGAAAATAATTTAAGGGAGATCTTACCTTCTATGTGATGCATAATTTCCTGTTATGTGACCAGAGCCATCACAACCAGGAGTAGGGCACCTGCAGAGGCAAGGGAGGCTCGGATTAGCCTGGGGATGCGAGCAGGGGATCGACACTCTGTGACAGCTCTTCTCAAAGAGAAATCTGGGCACTGTCAGCACCAGCAGGTTTTTCCTTCCTGCCCCTTCCCCCTCTGTAAGGACAAGATTTGGTTTGTAACGTCCATGGTACTGAAGTCAGTGTGTCACTGCATGATGTGACACTGGAGAGGAACATCTGTGGGATGTTGGGAGCACAGTGAGGAGCTGCTCTCCCATGAGAGGACACAGGTCCCAGCCTGTGTCCCCACCCTCCTGAAGGGGACAGCTCAGGAGCTAAAAATGAGCTAAAATGCCCCTCCAGGACAATGTTTATCATCTTGAGGAGGGCATAAGGAGAGAGCAAGGGCCGTCCAGGGCCAGCAGGATGGACCCAAGCAGAAATCAGAAACCAGGGCCACCATGGCCACCACCAAGAGAAGGTTTTGGCTCGGGTCTGGGTGACTTGGGGAGCCCTCAGAGAGGGCAAATGGGCAGCCCATGGCAGGAGGGTCTGCAGAGTGCAAAACTGGCCAACACTTCTGGCATAAAATGATGGAGAAACAGGAGGAAAAAGGTTAGGTTAGCCCTGGGTCCCCTCCTTCCACGACACCATGGGCAAGGGACAGGGAGCCAGCCTGTGAGGGGCCTGGGGACCGCCGGGTCACCACGCACAGCACTCCTGCAGCTTTTGGCACAGGCTCTGCCCCTCAGTCTCAGCCGCTGCCTTCCACAGGGACCTTTGGAGGTGTCCTGAGTTCCAGGTGAGCACCCAGACCTCTCCAGAAAAGGCTGCAGATCGCTGCTCCTTCTGAGCAAAGCTCAGGGCACATCCAGGAGCTTGCAGAGCACCTGTTCTCCTCAGGGGAAGGGTTTTTTTTTTGTGTCCCCACTTTCTCCAGGCCTGTTTTTAAAGCCACCGGTGCCTGGTTGGTACCTGCAGCAGGGCAGGGGTCAGTGTCTCCAGGACATGCCAGTGAAATGATGGTGATGCACGGGCAGCCCCTGAGGTCAGGGCCCTTGGGAAAGGCAGGATGCTTTTCCTAAAGCTGGACAGGGCTCTGAGCAGCCTGATGTAGCTGAAGATGTCCTGCTCACTGCAGGGGGTTTGGCCTTTAAGGCCCCTTCCAACCCAAACTATTCTGCACTGCTGCTCTGCCCTCTGAGAGTCAGTGGAGCAATGGTTTCCATAGGTGACTTGAGTTTGGCAGCTTGGAAAACAGCTTTTTTATAAAAGTCTTCTCTTTTTGTTCAGAAAATTCCAAATTTCTCCTCTTTGCAGCAGCTCTGAGGGAGCCTTTGGTGTTTGCAGGTCACTGAATAATCTCCATTGGCAAAAGAAATTGGCACCTCACCTCAGGTAAGAGAGCAGGGACATGGCCTGGTCCTAGAGAGGCAACGGGGAGGCTCAGAGCCAGAAAACATGAGTGCACATGGGGCTGGTACAGTAAGGGCAGGACACTTCCAGCAGGACCTCAATGAGGGTGCAAATTCTTCAACTCATTTAGGAATTACAGTTTTGACTGTGATATTTCCCAGCTCTACACTGTTGCAGTAGAAAGCAAAACTATTTCTCTGTTGTTCTAGCTTCAGGGTGGGAGGAAATTATGAAAACACTAACACCAAACTCTTTCTTCCTTTCAGGTTTTTTAAAGAGGAGAGAGAAGTAATTTGATTTTTATTTTTAATTATCTGGAGACAAATCATACCAACAGAGACCTTTTATTGCATGTTCCAGCCTGGAGCTATTTTTTTTTATATCAGGAATATTAACCCCTGAAATAGAATTTATAATAGAAACACTGACATGGTCTTATCTGGAGTTCTGAAAAGCTATGACTGTGCAATCTATAATATCTCAAAATTCCTTCCTCCCTCCTCTGCTCTCATCCTCACCAGGACATAGAAAAAAAAGTGGTATTTGAGGAAATAATATTAACAAGCTTTTTTTTTTTGGGCCAGAAGTCTCCTTTTTTTACACAGTATTTTGATAAAAAGCACTGATATTGGATGGCACAGGATGCTGCACAGCAAGGCTGGACACAACGCTCAGTCTCAGGGATGAGCCCATTTGCCTTTTGTCTGGCTCTTACTGGGAATGGCCACTGCTCCTGAGAGCTTTTAATATCTTTAACACTAATTGTCTGAGCACTTGGCTGTTCTTTCAAACTGTTGGAGAAACACCAGTTCAGCAGAGCTCTTTGAAGAGGTCCTTTCAAAATGTGTATGGTGCACACACATGATTAAGCGTACTTAGCACTAATCACAGCAGTCCTTGCCATCCACCAGCAAATTCTATTAATATCAGCTAATCCTGCCACTTTGTCCACCTCTGTGATAAGGAGCAGGTGATTAACTGACACTTTTCCTGGCACCAGCCCCACACTGGTGGTGGGGCACAGAGAAGTCCAGGAGCCCCCACAGAGGGATTTGGGACTTTTCCAATGGCCTTAGTGACCAGTGGGGCTGCCACTGGCTCACCTATGGCTCCAAAAACCCCTGACTGCACACAGGGCACAGCACTTTTGGGTTTTTTCATTATGACCCTGTGCAATGTAAAGCCCTTCATGAGGCTTTACTCTCAGTGGAGGCTCCTCAGTTAGATCAGTGTCTAAATGATCCAAAAACTGGATTCAGCAAGGCTGGGAGCCCAGAGGAGGCTGGGCTCATGAAAGAGATGATGAAAAAAAATTCTCACTGGACTTTACACAAGAGAGCAGATTAGGTGGAGACAGTTGGGGTCTCCCCAGTGTTCCAAACTAAATACAATTTCACCTTTTTTTAGATAAGGCAATCTAAGAAAGCATTTGGGAAACACACCTGTCAAGAATAAGCTCTACTGAAAAGGACGGGTTTGGAGAAGGCATCAGCAAATCTGAATATGGGATTCAGAGGAAGATACCTGAATGAAAATGTCAAAACCAGGTTCCTCCCTTCAGAAACAGCAATGGGAATGGGGAAGTTTGGATTTCTGTGAATTCTTGACCACTGGCTCAGGATCTGGCCTTACCAAGCATTTGCTCACTCCCTCTTTCATTCCCTCACAAATCATGGAAATGAAGAGGAACCTCTCTCACTACATCCCAAACAGCCTTTAAAAAGTAGCATAAAAATAGAACCCCAGGTTCTCCAAAAGAGTTGGCTTTGCTGTGTGCTGGCAGTGAGCTCCCAGCTGTGTCTCTACCCAAAAATAAATCCAGGCTCTGGATTATTTGAGATGGACAGAAATGTTAAATAAAAAGGATTATGGCCCAAACTAGGCAACAAGAGCTTAGGAAAAGATGCCAAGTGAAAAATAGAATAACATGTCTACAATGCCCAGAGAAAACCTGCCAGGCATCCAGGTTATATCCCATTATTGCAATCAGCCCCCTCCCCAAAATTATCCTTCCACCATGCCATTGCCTCTTCAACGCAGCAGCTGCAAGCTGGACTCCACCACAGCTCCTCGCAGGCAGGTTTTGATCAGCTCTTTGAAAGGAGAAGGGAGGGGATGGAAAAGCAAAAGCAGAGCAAGAGGTGTGGGGGCAGGGAGGGAGAAGAGAGAAAAAAAGGGTGGAAATAAAGAAAAAAAAGGAGTTCCAAGTTGAGCGCAAACATACTTGAGGTCAGCAGAGTGGGCAGCCATGAGGTTTCTGAGGCTCTTGTCAGCAAGAGGACAACCAGAAAGGCTGAAAGAGAAGAGATGGAATATCTGGATAAGCAAAAAAAAAAAAAAAAAAAAGAAAAAGAAAAAGGAAAAAGAAAGGGCTGGGGAATGGGGAGGGAGAGGGGCAACAGAAGGGGGGAGGAAACAGAACCAAACTATCCATATGGTCACAAACTATACCAAAAGAAAAAAAAAAAAGTTGTTTTTAAAGTTCAAACCACATAAAAAATGTCAACCCACCTGCGGTGAGAGGCATAGTTCCCCGTTATGTGTCCACTGCCATCACAGCCTGGGGTTGGGCAACTGGGCAACAACAACAACAAAGAGCATAAGTGTGGGAAAGGAATGGATTCCTCAAGACCCACGGGTGGGCAGAGCCAGCAGAGCCCCCTCAGGGTCTGTCTGGGGCATCTCAGTCCAGCCCTGCTGCCAGACCCCTGACACCAGCCCCATCCATCAGTTCTTGGTGTGTGTTTCTATGTGTGCGTGGGTATAAACCAGCTGTTCCCCTTTCAGCTCCCCTTCCTCCCTTTTTACTTTTAAAAGAGCATAAGGATCCTAAAAACACAATTAGAAAAAATAAAATAACTGAGAAAAAATCATGGCAAAGGTAAAGAAAGTGTTTAAAACCCTCAGTTGATGGGAAGACTTGGTGGCAGCGGGGGACTGACACAGCCTGATGGGTGGCACAGCCTGACAGATGTGCCCAGCCCTGGCTGCTGCTGCCAGGTTGGACCATTCCTGCCATGCTGAAGCTCTGGCTGCAGGATTCATATTGCTCAGATTTCAGATTTGAATAAGGTGCTTCAGATTTCAGCTTTCTGAAAAGATTTTTTTTTCCCCAGCCCTTACAACTGTGAAGAAAGGACTGTTTGCTGCTGAAAGGGAATGACAGGAACCTCTGTCTGTGCCTGGGGGTGATGGGCAGATACAGGTGAGGGGCACCTGCCTGGAAGTGGCACAAGAACAAGACACAGAGCATCAGACACAGCAGGTGAGTCTGCTCCTGAGTTAACTACAGCTAATTCATTACAGCCCCTGGGGCAGAGAGGAACAAGGATATTAAATGGAGAGGGAAGGCTCTGGGCTGTCCATGACACCATTTATTTATTCCAGAGCTGTTTCCATTTAGGAAATTTCTCTACCATCACAATAAAATTAAAGCACAGGAGGGCTTCAGGGCTCTACCTTAGAAACTGCTGTTCACATCACTGGTGGGTTTTGAAAAACCCTTTAGAGCTTTGTGTAGGGCAGCTGATCTGAGCTTTGCTCATTTAGGGAAGATGCTGCTGCTGCTGTGCCCCCACAGCCTGCCTGGCTGCTCCCTCAGCCTCCTGCCTGCAGATAATGAGTGAGTTGGATGAGATCAGCAAAAGGGCACCCACCAGCTCCCTGTGTGATGTGTGGGAGGGTCAGATGCACAGGAAAGATGCCAGGAACAGCTGGGATGCCTGGGAGGAGAAATCTCCCCATCACAACCTCCAGGCTGATCCTGACGTGCTGTTAGACCAGAGCCAGGTCCAAGCTGCCGTGTTTGACTCAAACCTTAAACATGAACTATTCCTGTGGGAATCAGTGTGGATGCAGAGCCATACTCCATCCAATAGGGCAGATCTGGGTCTGTGCCTCTACCCACACAATGGACAGACAGATGTGAGCTGGGTCAAGGTCTCTCTCCAATGTAAAATGCAACACAACAGCAAACTTGCTGCAGCCTGAGGTCACATCTGGTGTTCTTGCAGTATCACAGTGCTGGGACCCATTGCTCTAAGCCAAAAAATTCTGTCTTCTCAATGAGACATCTTGTGTTCAACACCCTCTTCAAGGGGGTGCTGAGTTCCCTTGGGTGCTCTTGGCTCCACAACATCAGCGAGTGTCCCAAAACAGGGGATTAGGACATTGGGTAGATGCCACCACCATGGCAGAAACACTCTTGCAGGAAAATACCAGGAAAATCCAGCCCTGAAAGGAGTTTCCCAGAACCCTGTCCATGAATACAGAGCACAAAGCTCTCAGGTTCCCTTCATCACTGCAAAGTAAAGAAGGAGCATATTTTGCCTCATTGATCAGCAGTTGTAGGAGGATGAGTAAGATCAATCACAGTAGGAAAGGGAGCTACAGTTCTTATTTCTAAAATGTATTTACTAATTTTTTTCCAACCATCCTGGCTAAGTACATATTAACAGATTTTCAAGGAAGAGATGAGAAGACAGGGCTTACGTGAGCAGCTCTTTCTTGATGTCCTTGGAGAGGAATTTCAGCTTGAAGTTGGTTAAAGTAACTTCACCTGGGTATTTTCTCTCTTCAAAGTTCTCCTCTGACGCTTCTTGCTCATCAGCTTCCGAGGAGGCAAAAGAGTGGGCAGCAGGCTCTGACTGCAAGGAAAGGGGCAGAGTTGTGGTGTGGTCATTGCTGCTGAGCTGTGGTGGGAAAGAATCCCAAGTTCATCGCAGCCTAAGGGTTAGTGCAGCACTGCCAGCACTCCTGAGCCCCCTGCAAGCACCTCACAGCACCCAGCCCAGAGATCCAACAGCCTGTAATTTCCTGGGGTTTTAGGAGAATTGTGTAAACCACATCTGTAAAGGGATTTACACATGGCTTTCCCAAGGTTTTGAAGGAATGAAGATCAGTGCAACACCCTCACACTCTTCCTCAGCATCCTCCCCACGGGTGGAGAGGCAGGTGAAGCTCTCAGAGCCAGGACCCCTACCCCAGCTGGGAGTCATGGATGGATTCCCCACCTGCAGGATTAATGTCAGTGCCATGCAGGGCTGCAGCTGCTAATGGCAGATATAAATCATCCTGAAAAACATCACCAGAAGCAGCACTGCTGCAAGGGAGGTGACAGGATTTACAATGGAGAAAACACTGCAGACCCAGCACAAGTAAAATGGTTTGTACTTCCTTTGCAAGGGCATCTCAACAGGTCCAAGAGCAGTTGCTTCCTGCCTGGTTGATATCTGATAGCACTGACAAAGTGCCAGGAATATTTCTCTCCTTGGCTTAATGGACAAACTGGGGATTCTGGGGCAAACAAGACAACACTGCAGGCAAACAGGACAACTGTGCAGGCAAACATGGCATTCAGTGTCCCCTGAGTGGTTATTCAAGCACCAAGAGGCACCGCTCACCTCCTCTGGCTCCTCTTCCCGCTGGCGGTTTGGTTTAGTGTAGTCAATGGGCCCATCCCATTCATCCTGGCGGGAGGTCTGGCTGGACTGGGGGGAGGTCATGGTGCTGCTCGTGGCACTGGTGCTGTTTTGGCGCTGGGACACGTCTGGGGACTTCATGCTGGGACTACTGCTGCAGCTGCTGCTGCTGGGGAAGGTGCTCTCCCGTTTGCGGTGTTTGTTCATACTCAAGTCCAGAGTTCCATTTTCATCCACTTCAATGTCCATGGACTGAAAGGTTGGAAACACAACCAGTGTTAGCAGCTGCCAGAAAATCCCCATGGGGATCTTGCCCCCGTTTGTCTTCTGCAGTGCAGTGGGCAGGTGTTCATGTCCTCTCCACAGTCAGGCAGGAGAAACTGAATAAAAAGTATTGCTCTTTCCTAAATATTTCAGGAATATGTAATGCAAAGGCACCCCTCTACTACCAGCAGGGTGGCATTTTGACTCAGCTGATTGAATGCAGGCATCTAATGCCACTTAGGATACCTCATGGCATCCAAAACATTTGCCCTAGGTTGGGAATGCTCTGTGGGACTTTGAGAAAACCTGTGTTTCTCTGAAAAACAGCTGGAGATCAGACTGGGCACAACTGGGGAACTTCAAATGGCATCAGATACAGATCAGGGAACAACTGAAATCAGCTCTGAGAATCATGGGAGTACAGAATTGTTTGGGTTGGAAAAGCCCTCTGAAGACCATCAAGCCCAAACATTCACCCAGCACTGCCAAACCCACCACTAAACCATGTCCCCACGTGCCACATCCACATGTCCTTTAAATCCCTCCAGGGATGGTGACTCCACTACTGCCCTGGACAGCCAGTTCCAGGGCTTGACCATCATAAATCATAAATATTTCCTAATATCTAGTCTCAGCCCAAGACTTGTCTTGGGATTGATGCTCATCTCACACGGGTAATTTGAACCACAAGGCATCTCCACATCACCCAAAAAGCCAAGATTCCTTCTTCCAAACCCGAAGTGGGGAGCCAAAAGGGTGATTTTGGATAAGTACCTGCATTGCCTCTATATTTAAAAAAAAACAAAATGAAAGGACAGGTAAACCAAGGTGTCTCTCCCATCCTGAATTTTAAGTTTGGCCCCTGGGCAGTGGTTCCTGGCCACATTCACCCACCTTGCCAGGGGCCTCTTGCTGCTTGGTGCTGAGATTCTCGGGCATCTCCCAGCAGCGGGTGGAGAGGTTGAGGATGGCGGTGGCCGCCATGTGCGCAGCCTCAGCGTCGTGGGAGTAGTCGAAGCCTGTGGAGGAAGATGAAGTGCTCTTCACGTAACTGCTGGAGGGGCTGTGGCTGGGGGAAGAGGCCTTTGGAAAAGGTTTGGCTGGAATAAAAAGAGAAGGAACAACACAAGGCTAATGTATAAGCGGCATGAGCAGCAGGGGAAGGTTAAGTCAGTGTGACACAGTTAATGTATGCACAGTTCACGGGGTTATTCCCAGTCCAGGGGCTGGTTTGTTGCCTGGGACATGCAACAGGAGCAGTAGTGGCTGCAGCTTGTGCTTGGTGTAAAAGGTTAATTCATTAACTGACTCTGCCATAAATACTCAAAACACAAGTGCTTTTCTTCACTAGAGCTGCTCCTCAGTGGAATCAGTTAAAGGAAAAAGCTTAGAGAAGCTTTTTGACTCTTTTTTTTGTTGTTCTCTCTGTCCATAACTTATCTGCAGAGCTGCCTTACAGGGAGATTTCTAGTAGCATGTTTGAAAGCTTTAAATTTATAAAATTACATTAATAGAAAAAGCATGGTCATAAAATATGAGCTTCCAAGGATGACACTGGTGAAATACGGATTTTCTGACAGCTGACATATCATTTAAATATGCCAGAGTAACAGGATTTATTGCACAGCTGCACATAGAGCCACACTGCTGCTCTGCTCCTGTATGTCACAGCAGCAGCAAAGCCAGCCTGGATAGGTAATTTCTCTTCATAGGCTGTGAAATGAAAGTATTTCTCAGGGTGGATGCACAGTAAAACTTTCCCTAATAATAACTAATAATTCCCTAATAATAAAACTTGAAGCTGATCCCATTTAGGGGTCCTCAGTAGTTTCAGTGGGTGCAAACAGGAGATCATCTGATTTAGAACACTCATAGGATTGTATTCTGAATCAATTATCAAAACCTTCAAATCCTTAATTCATTCCACCATGCTCTTTCTGAGGGAAACCATCCCCACACTTTAGTGGGAGGCTCACCCAGGGAAGACTCACAAGCTTTGGCCTGATCATGGCAAAACAAAGCCAACTTCAGTTGATGCAGCCACGGAGCAAAGTGATTTCATTATTCCCATTACAAATTTGTGATATAAGACACTATAAAATACTAATCTTCCCCAGCACTGCTTTCTTCCTCGTTGCGTGCGTATATAATGCATATTGACATTAATGGGAGTTACGCACACACATGCAGGGGAATATAAATCCCACTGGATGAAGATCTCTTTAAAATAAGTTCTCAGTGAAAGGAGCAGATTTCCCTGCTATGATTGGCAATCATATTCATCCTGTCGCTTTGATTAACTCATTGGAGGCTTGCCCACATGGTTATTCTTGTGTCTGGCTGCTTGTTTTCCTGTCCGGTTTAATCCGTGTCTTCAAGGCGGGGTGCGAGTATTCGCCAACCCAACCTGACAATATCCAGGATCGGGAGATGCCAATTTCAATTTCACACCGTAGGCTCAGCGATGCTTTTCCATTTCATAAGTATTTCTACCACTAATAGACTCGCAATCAGCAAATTAGTGAAATAAGCGATGAGAAAAAATAGAAAGGATTATCCTAGTGGGTCTGCTGGAATTATTTTTGTCAGTACAATTACCCTGAAAAATCTTTGCTAATATTGCAAATAACACAATCTATTCAGCGAGAGAATCACTTGTACTGGAAAACAAATTACTTTTCCATCAGCCCTAACCCAGGATGACAGTGGCAGTTGTGCTCTCTGGCCTCCATCCAATTTCATTGTCTGATCCTGTACAGATTTAGTACTGTAATAAAGAGCGCTCCCATTGTAGTGCAACAACCGGGATGCTTTCAAGTACGAGCACTTTTTAGAGAGCAGCTGCATCAGGATTAAACAGGATTGTGGAAGTGGGATTAGCCAGACAGAAAGCCCTCTTGAGGCTGCTGACTTCTACAAACTGGGCTCCTAGATATTTTCTTTTGCCCCTCAAAAATATGTCTTGAGGTGCACAGTTAGTGTCAAATAATGCATTTTCAGGGACTGTGTCCCCATGCAGTGTGCCTCTTGCCTTTGGCAGCCTGACCCCTCAGGGTTTATTCAGCCATTTCATTTTCACCCAGAGCTATAAACAGTGCGAAGTCCTCAGAATAGAGCAGAGGTGGGTGGCTGTGATAGGAACGAGGTGGAAGACAGAGGTGGGTGATCGATTGGTGGAGTTGGAGAGCAGAGCATGGCAGGGAAGACAAATGGGGGGAATGGGTCATATATAAGATGGAAGAGAAGAAAACTGTAATCCATTTAGCTAGATGAGGAAAGCCAGATCAATAGATATGAGCTGCAAAGCAATGGAGACCAACTGAGGACAACTGTGTAACTTATCCTATCTCGAGACATCACTCAGATTAATGTTCCCACCACAATTCTTCCCAAAGCTGAAGCCAAAGACACTGTCTTCCAAACAAAGCTTTCCCAGCAGCTATGGACTCCCCTCACCATCAAAGGTGCCCACCTTGGGACCCACCTTACCCTCCCCATCCCGGGAGGGTCCAACACCTCTCACCAAGAGTCTCCCATCACCCCAAAACCACAATCCCAAGAGCCTCACAACATGCTAAGACAGAAAATGCAAAAACCAAGTCCACCCCTGTTCCCAACTTACATTTAAAGGCTTTAGGTGAGGTTTCGCTAGTCTGAATCTTTGGGGCAAGCATGCGTTTGCCAAAAACCTGAGCATCAAAACTTGCATAATCGAAGGTGACCTTGGAGTACTTCTCCAGCTCCTTGGCCAAGTTGGCCCGGGGGGTTGCTGGGACCATGTTGGGCCTGTAGCTTCCATACTGAGGGATCTCCAGTTGCTTCACAAAGCACATAGGCCTGAGGATGAAACAACAAACAGCAATTATTTATTTTTTCCTTGGTGAGGTGACTGTTGAGAGGAGACCAGACACAATGGGGGCACAGCTACACCTTCTTCCTAAAGGTTTCCTGGGGACAAGGAGGCAGTGACAGCCCTTTTGCTCTCCCTCAGCAAGATCTGATTTGGATCTCACAGCCTCCAGTTTTATTTTTTCTATCCTTTTCCACCTTCATTTTTTTTCCCCTCTTTTTAAGCAAAACAACGACTTGTCAACCTCATCCAGCTCAATGCTCTTGCAGACTGTCATGGTGTGGCAGCGTTTTCCAGAAGAGAACAAACTTGGTCAATAACTCCCTCCTGGGACCCATGACACAGGGTGCCACACAAGGGCATGAGGAGCCCAGTTCAGCTCGGCTCCCTGCTGCAGGTTCACTGCAGAGGCACCAGGGCCTCTCCCCTGCCTCAGCCCCTCCTGAGACCCACTGCTACGGGACTGCCTATCATTAATCAATTTGTCTTGCATATAAATTGTATATAAATGGTCTATTGTTATTCTCCTTCCCGTGACCTCTTTCCACCAGAGAGTCCTCGGAGCGGGAGCTCCTTGGAGCATGGACTGTCCTCGTGATGTGCTCAGAGTGCTCGGCGCGGGCTCTGCTGCAAATAAATAAGTAATGGCTCTAAATGGCCTTTCAAAAGTAGCGAGAGCTGGAGCACCAGGGTGCTCAGCAGTCCTGGGGAGCAAATAAATAAATGAATCAGAGCTCGATGCCTTTGTGGGAGGGCTGCTCAAGCCTCGCACTGTGGTTTTTATCCTGCTCTCGTTGCAAAATAACCAACCATATTCCAATCCATCTGTAGCTTCATGAATCACATCAGCTACGGAAGCCAGCATCTATCAGGGACATCCTTAATGGGAGACAGCCCTTTCTCCCGGGAAGAGAGAGATGGGCAAAGTATCAAAATTAATGTGACTGGTTTGGAAACGAGCGGCCGGTTCCTCTCCTCTGAAACATGTGGGCCAAGGAAGAAAAGCAGGTGCACTTTAATGCACAACTGCCATGGAGTGATTTGTCTGTAGCCTAAATCTCCTCCTCCTCCCCCCTCCCTGAGCCCACCCTTCTTATAATGCTGATATAATAACCAGCCCTCGCTGGCAGTTTGTGCTGTGGAGCAATCGGCACAAGTGCCTTCTGCTGCACTGCTAAAACCCTTTGGCCTGTAGCCTCAGCATTAATTGATGCTACAGAAGCAATTCATTGTCCTCAATGCTCTCCCTGGGATCATCAATTAAATATCTCCCCACCTTGGCGAGACCTATGATCATAATAACAGGACTCAGCAGTATCAAGATACAGCTGGAGCTGTGGCTGCTGTTCCTGGAGCGTGGCAGGGCACAGAGGGCTGGGGCAGTGTGGGGACATGGAGCTGAGCCTTCTTGTCCCCCTTACCTGAGTATCCGGTCAGAATTGGAGCTGGTCTTTGCAGGATCACCAGACTGGGTTTGTTGCTTTTCATGTGATTTGGCTAATTTCTCAGCAGCAGCAATGGGGCACCCAGATAAACTGTGGGAGTTGGTTGGATTTTGTTTGTTTTGGTTTTTTTTTGAAGGAGTAGAAAAAGAGAGAAGGAAGCCAAGCATGAGGAATGAGTACAAAAACCTTCATTTCATGGATCCAGAGCTATACTGAGCCTGTGAGAAAAGTGTTTGCCTCCTCCACACTGAAGAAGTTCAATAAACAAGACAAATTCACCCTGCACCTTATCAACACAGAATCATGGAATGATATAGAATGGTTTGGGTTGGAAAGGATCTTAAAGCTTAACTCATTCCAACCCCCCAGCCATGAACAGGAATACCTTCCACTATCCCAGGTTGCTCCAAGCCCCGTCCAACCCAGCTTTGAACACTTCCAGAGATTGAACAACCTGTGCCAGGGCCTCACCACTCTCATAGGGAAGAACTTCTTCCAATCTAACCCTGTCCTCTGCCATTTTGAAGCCATTCCCCCATCCTGTCACCCCTGTGTAAGAAGAAGCCAAAGCCGGTACCTCCTGTGCGTGTTGCGGTTGCTGTTGACATGACCCTGTCCTGTGCACCCGGGCGTGGGGCACTTCAACACGTTCTCGTGCATCGCCAGGACTTTGGAGCAAGAAGGGGAAGGGGAGAAGGGAAGGGAAAGAAAAACAACTTAATAAAAATCAGAGAGGAAAAAGAAAAAAAAAAAAAAGAGAAAATCATCAAGCCTTGTACGCTGGTTTCCTAAAAATCAGGGAATGTGAAATGCTGTAATTAGAGTTTGCAGAGGGAAAAATAAAATATTTACAAGGCAGCGGTGCCTAGGTCAGCACTAGGTTAGCATCTCTGCACACAACCTCCCCATTTTCTGATTGCAATCCAGTTTCCCCCATCCAGCCCCTCCTCCCCACCCCTGTTTTTGAATCAGGTCTCCAGTTTCAGGTAGTTTTAAGTGATTGAAGTTGTAGCTCTGCTTTTATCCTTAGGCCTAGTCTTTGTTTGATTTTTTTTTATTTTTAATCCTCAGGATTATTGCTTCCTGCAGCGCTGACCTTAGAAGTAAAAAAAATAATTTGATCTGCAAGCTTTTGTAAAGCCCACAGCTTGTGTTAGTTATTTATTAATATTTTTGCTTGCATTCCAGCCTGTGAAGATAACTTTCTCCTTGTTTCTTCCAGCTCTATGTTTATGTCAGGTCTGCAACCTTTGAAATTACTGATAAGGAAGGGCTCCTCATTCTTTTGGTCTATTATGCCATTATCGTAAACATACAACATTGATTTTTATGTATCTATACAGGGAAAGCTATTTAGAATGCTGGTAGAGAGGTGGAAATACAATCTCTCTCTGTGCATATGTATGTATGAAAATCTGTCATGGGGATGATAAATATTTTCTGTAGAATAGGTGAATCTTGGTGTAGCAGTTTGGGAATTTTGCAGTGATTAGGACACAGGAGACTCAGCAATCCTGCACATCCTAAATCCCTCATTACTCCTCTTCCTTCCTGCATGGCAACATATTTTGACAGCAAGGGAGAATAATATCCCTTTTTTCCCAATATGATGTTCCAAGTAGAGAAAAATATGTGACTTTCAGTGTAAAGATGGGAACTGTTTAACACACCTCTGGAGATGGGCAAGTGTTTATAAAGCCCCTCTTTGATTTTCAGAGAAGGGATCTCATTCTCCACAGGATGGTGCTAAAAATCCTTTAAGAAGGACAGGACTTCCAAGTAAATCCCCTTCATGTTTCCTGTGATTAGTGATAACACTTTGGTGGATAACAGCATCTGGGTTCAACTTGGAAAAACACCACGGAATACTCCAAGGAGTAACATCAGACTTAGTCTAGGGACTCGGTCATAAAATCCATATAATTTGAAGAATTCCCCCAAGAAAATTAGGCTCCAGGGAAGCTGAAGCAGCCCTTGGTATCCCACCATGTACTCACTCTCGGGGGGGATCCTGTCTTTGTGCGGACAACCAGAGAGGCTGCGATGGTGGGGGTAAAGTCCCGTGACGTGTCCAGTCCCATCGCAGCCAGGAGTTGGACATTTGATTTCTCGCTTCTCGGGTCTTGAAGGATCTAAGGATTGTGGGGAAAGGGCAGAGGGAAGCGGGTTAGTGGATTTGGAGGGGAAGAAGTGGAAAGTGCTGAGGATGCGTCTCACCTCCTTTCCAGTCAAGCAGGGGGGAACCTTTGTGTTTGTAGGTTTTTTTTCCTGGAGTTGGAAGTGTAAGACTGGAAGTTTCAAAAATTGAAATGAGCAAAGTGATTTCAGGAAATGACACAGCTCAGAGCATGGAGACACTCACAGGGACTGAGCAGATAGCCTGTCCCAGAGCCAGGGGATGCTGAAGCCTCTGCCCTCATGTTTCTGTGGCTAAACTTCTACAGCTACTTTGAAACCCACTTGGATTTTAAACCAGCCCTTGAGCTCAGGCTGCAATTTTCAAGGTTAACTGACAATTTAGCCAAGCAATTTCTCTACTCAGAGGGAGGAACCCTCGTGACAGTGTAGAGGGCACCATCATTTTATGCATTCACTGTTGACCTCAAGGATGTCCCCATCCCTTTGGGCATTGAGGATTTGTGGTTGAATTCCCCCTGTGGGCTGTGAACTCCCCCCACATCAGCCTGATAGTCCGTGCTGAGCAGACAAGTTCAGCTCTTCCAGCAGGGATGGGAAGGAGGGAGATACACAAAGGTTTGTCCCGTACCTTTGCCGTAGTAGCTCTTCCGGATGCTGTCCAGCGGTTTGTTCTGTTTGTCCTCCACCTGGAAGTGCTTCACGTGCTCTCCTGGCAGCCGGCTGGGCTCCCGCACGATTTTCACCTGCTCGGCTTTCAGGGCAATGGCTTGTTCCAGCAGCCCCAGGTTGCCCCTGGTCATCATGTCGTACATCTCCGACTCATCAGTCACGGCTGATTTCTGGGAGCGGGCGTCGTCGTCCTTGTCGTCATCCGACCGGACCTCCACGATGACCGAGTACTCGGGCTTGGGGCTGAACTGCCCCTCACAGTGGCTTTTCTGGGGGTCCTGAGAAGTGTGAGGAGCTTCCTCGCAGATCACTTCAGGAGCCATCTCCTCCTCCTCGTCCTCCTCCTCTTCTTCCTCTTCCTCCTCCTCCTCCTCATCCTCTTCCTCCTCTTCCTCCTCCTCATCATCCTCCTCCTCATCATCCTCCTCATCCTCTTCTTCCGCTTCAGCCTTTTCCAGTTTGCAGGACTCCTCTCCGTTCGTCTCGTCCCGGGGCTCTGGACACAACTCGCTGCTGCGCTCGCTGGTGACCTCGATGACCTCCTCCGCGTCCTCCGTCTGGATGATGATCTCCTTGTCACACTCCTCCTCCACCAACTCCTCTCCTGCATCCTCATGGACCAAATGCACGACATTGGATGCCGGCTTGGAGCCCTGCAGCTCTGCTTCGGGCAGCTGCCCTTCAATGGCGAGGGTTTCCTCTGCTATTTGGCCTAAGTTTAGGAGAGAGTTGGCGATTATTTCTTGGTAGCTGCTGTAGTTGGCCTTGCTGGGCCCAGATGTACTTGTTGCTGTGTTTTGTCCATAGTGGGTTGATTTTGCTGGGCTTCTCTCTGAAGGGGGAAAAGAAGGAATAGAAAGAAGAAGGGAAAGAGAAAGAAAACATGAAAATGAACAAAAAAAAAAAAAAAAGTGAGGAAATGAGAAAAGGAGGAAAAGAAAAAAGGAGTAAAAGAGAAAAGGAAGGGGAAAAGAAGAGGGAATAAAAAGGAGGCAAAGAAAGTAATTATATGAACTCATAAAATACAACTTTGTTGTGCTTAAACTTAATTGAAACCAGAGCCTGGCAGTTCCACCTCTGGAGCATCCTAATTTATTGAATTTGGGGATGGCAGGTGGAAGGTGGATTTCCACATGGGACTCTGATGCACCATCTGCCCACTGCCACCCCTAACGTCTGTGCTCCCCAGGCCAGGGCTCCAAACCAGTGAGCAAGGCAGTGTCAGGACCCCAGCTGAAAATCCTTGTCCTTCTCCATGTCCTTTTCCTGTCACTCCTCTGCTCTTGGATAATGGCCAGATCTGCCCAGGGAGGAGGATCCTGCTGAGCCCCTCATGGCTCCTGTGTGGGACCCTGGCTGCCTTCCCCACCACACAGCAAGCTCCTCTGTGCTTTCTATGGGTCCTTCTCTAGGGAGCATCCCTGAAGGAAAAGCTCTCATTTTTAAAACACTGGAGGCACTGTGCCTTCTCAGCTTTGCCACTGTCTTCTACCCAACAATGGGCCCCCCGGTAATTGAGGGACCCATCCCGTACATCATTCAGAGGAGCTGTAACTCCTGGCTGTTAACACTTCTTGCCCTTTCTTCATCTGCAGAGCACAGCTCTGCAATCAATAATGATAAAGCACCTTCTGCTGCCTCGGGGCTGCGGGTCTCCTCCTGCTCCATCGCCTCTGCCTCGTCCTCCTCCAGCATCCCCTCCGACTCATCGGAGCCCGACTCCTCCTTGGCCTCGGCCTCCTCACTGCCGTCGCTGTCGACGTTGTAGCCTTCATCCAAGGCCAGTTTGAGTGGATGGGATTTCCTCTTGGACACCAGATGTTCGGCCTCAGCATCCTGAAGTTTCCTCTTCTTGGCTAGAGGGCAGCTTTGTAAACTGTAGGTGGGACCAAGGAGCAGAGAGGAGGCATTGCTGAGTGAGAAATGCCTGGCTACCTCTCAATCTAACCAGTTAGGCAAAAGTAAGTAAGACAAATGCACAACTACCAGAAAAATCATCAAGTACCCCAGACTTTTAGCTGGTTTAACCTCTGTGGCTACATGTGCTCTTAGACCTTGACTTTTTGCAACTACATCCACTTTTTTTCCCAGATATCAGCACCCAAATGCTGGGATGTGGCATCCCAGGACTAATGCTGGTGACGGGCACCATGAAAACAGGCATAGGATGCAGAACCAGACCCTGGGACACATCCACCAACTGCTCCAATTTCGCTATTCATGGGGTGATGAAAACCCTCAGTTAAGGCCTGCAAAACCTCCAAGACAGCCAATGTGTTCTTCTTTGCCTTCCCCATCCATAGAGGCACCAGGCAGACCAAAATCTCTGCCCTTCAGCAGCTCCCACCAACCCCGGACAGCTGGGTCAGGCATTTCTGGCCAAGTTTGAGGTCTACAAGAAGGCTGCTGTGAGTGTGGAGAAGCAGATCCACCTGGGATCCCTTAGAGACTGATGGAGAGCCGGAGACAAAAAGATTTGGGACACACAAATTGGGTTGGTGCTCTGAACCAGACTTTTTCCAGTGAACACCTGTGTTTGGCTCTGTTGCTCACATTTTCCCATCCCCGCTACTTCCAACCCCACCTCACCTTCTGTGTCTCGCATACTTCCCACGGATGTGTCCCGAGCCATTGCAGCCTGGGGTTGGACAGCTTGGGAGGGAAACAAACAACCATCAGGAACAGCAAGAAGACTCGCAGAATTAATTAGGATTGTATAATCCACAGTCAGTTAAACAGGTCCTGTGCCCACGGAACAAGCTAACTGCAAACAGGAAGTTCATTTCCTTCAAAAAGTTCCATTTGTCCCTTTGAATTCCAAGGGAGGAGGGCAGGAGAGCAGCCTTGCAGTTTGCTAAAAACTAATGAAATTACTCACCCCATTTAATTAGATGAACAGTTTGCTATAGTTTTATGAGTATGTTTAATTAAAGATTTGCATGTGTGAGAGCAAGCTTTTAAAGGCAGACAGCTACTGCACTCTGCCTCCCCGCTGCTGCTCTCCAGTTTTTCTTTTTCTCAGGAGGAAAACACGGGATTTTCCCTTATTTGGTGGCTTGTCAGGGAACTGGGGCCTCTTACGGTAAGAAATGTGTGTGTTTTGGGGAAGAGCAAACTGGGATTTTATCAAGGAGGCTTTAGCCAGGCACGTTGGATGCAGATCCTCAGGACTAAAATCCTCAAAACCTCGTTTTCGGGGGAATGGATGGGATTTAGATGACTAGATGTCATCTTGCTGGTTTTCTTGCTGCTCTGCAGAAGAGAATGAGTTAAAGGCTTGCAGGGAGCTCTGAGCCCGCTCACAGCCACCGCTGCCTTCACTTGAGCATCCCTGCACAGGACCACGCGCCTCCCCTGCAGGGGTAATTAGTCCCAGCTTCAGGAGCTGTAAGGGCTCCAGATAAGAAGCATTAAAGCAAACATTTTCTGGCAAAACCAGATTATGACATTGATTATAGGATGCCCAAGTGACTTGCCTGATGTCTGAGGAATTCTGGAGTCGTGTAGGATTAATAACCTCATTTAGCACTGTATCACCCTCAGCCTAGGAAGCTGGAAGCGCTAATGAAATCTCTTGATGACAGTGCAAAGGGAGAAGGCATTGCCAGCCCAGAGGGGATCTGGCCAGGCTGTTATTCTCAGAGTAAAAGACGTGGGACAACATTAAATAGCATCAAGTGCCAAGTCAGGCTCTAGGGACTCAGTTTCTGCTCCCAGAAAGCTGAGGACACAGAGGGTCTGAGTGCACTAATGGGTGCAGCAGCTCTGGGAACACTGGTGGGTTATTAATTGTTCAACTCCCTAGGATACAAGTCAGATCCTTGTGTTCAAAAATTATAATTCTACCAAAAAAACAGGGCAGGACAGTGCTGCTGAGCTGTCAGGAGAGTAGGAATCCTTCCTTCAGGGAGACTGACTGGCTTTAGGTTAGCAAAGCAAATGCTGAGAGCGCAATTGGTGGCACCACATCCCCTAAGGGGACACGGTGCTCTGGGGAGGTGGAAGCTGCCCCTCATGGCTCCTCCAGAAAACTCCCCCTTTCCTGCTGTCCCCTTTGCTTGTGACCTGGCTGGAACCCGTGATGCTGCACATCCTCCAGTGCCACCTCTTGTGGCACGGCTCCCTCCCAGCTCTTCTGACATCCACACACAGCTCCAGCCCCACCACACCTGGGGTCTGGCCTGACATCACGGTGTCCCTTCTCCAGCAGGACACTCGAGGTCATAGAGAACAAGATCTCATCCCACTGACATGTGAAATTGGAAAAGGGAGCTTCCCTCTTTGCTGCTTATGACCTAAAAGTCTATTTAATTTAATTGCCCTGTCCCAAGCAATCCCAGCCACACTTTCAGTGACTGCACACCAAAAGACAGAGCAGTGTTTATGTCACCAGTGACTTGCCTGAAAAAGGCCTTATTCAATGTCAAACAGGAGCAGCTCTGATGAAGATGTTACAGGCTTTTATAAGTTTTCCTGTATCAATAAAAGCAGATTACACATCACCCCATTTTTAATGTGGTTTAATGAGGCCTGCCATAAAAAGTATGTAGGAAAGAGACGAGTGGTTCAGCATCGAGGTTTGCAGGTGTCGATTTGGAATGTTTCTGGCTTCACTTTGTTGATTTAATGCCTTTAAAAACCACCAGCACAAAGGTGATGCTCTACATGCTCTGGGCCAGGCTTCCCCTCCCCACTCTCCGCTGGGGACTTTTCGTGTATTTTGGCAGGAGTCCCGAAAGAGGAAACGGGCTTTGAGGTCTATTAAAGCTGCTCTCCATCCCTCAAGAGCCACCACACCGAACAGCTCTCCCCCTCTCCGCTGCCTTCATCTGCTTGACAAAAGGGCTTCTTATTGTTATGCAGACGATGCCCTGCTTCCAATTAGTCAATTAATCGTCCAGTTATTCAGGCAATTAGGTGACAGCTGCAGAGATGGCTTTGTGGAGCACTCTGTCCTGCCCCTTAGATATGTCACCTGCTCCAATTACCACCTCCACTCAAGTGTTCAGCAATAAAAGTTGGAGAAGGGGCATGCCCAGTGCTGGCTCCTCCCGGCTCTCCAGAGTAATCCTCCGGAGTGGAGGAGCGAAATGCTCTGAAATTGGGCTGGTTTAGGTCCAATTACTCTTTGACACACGCGGGAGGCTGCAGGGAGAGGCAGCCCCTGCTCTTAGTGCCTGTTCAGGTTAAAGGCTCCTACCTCTGGCACAAGCCCCTGTGGCAGGTTCGGTGGGAGCTTGCAGCTGGGGGAGGCTGTTACATCTAATGAGAAACTCTGGAGGGCTGCACAGGCTCTGCTCCTGCTCTTTTGGCTGCTGCTGTTGGCATCCCAGCACTGCTAAATGAGTGACAACTGGAGCTCGGTGACTGAACAGAGGACAGGGGGGCTGAAGGAGCATCCAACACCAGAAGTGACATGACAAATATGTGGGAAAAACCTCTTTAGTAGGATGGTGTCCCCAATGATCCTGAAATACAAACTGTGGGCTTTAGGTTTGACTGGGGTTTAGATCTGGGGTGGCACAGCGGGTGGCTGGAGGCTCTCCAGTCTAATGTCATTCACCCAGAGCTGCAGTTTATTTCTTTAACTCTTGTGATTCCCCTGATGTGTTGTCTAGTGGTACCCTGAGGGCTTGGACACAAGCACCAATAGAAGCCCCCCAGCAAGACCCCATTAGTCCCATGGGTTTGCTCCTCTCACCCAGGTTTCCCAGCTGAGGGGCTTCTCTCAAGCCAGTCCCACCATGTGTCCCCCCCATCCCTCCCATGGCCAAGGAGGAGCAGGGTCCTTACCTCACCTCCTGGCCGATGAGCTCCGTGGGCACTGGCCAAAGGGCAGGATGCAGCAATGGAAACAAACACAAAGTCAGAAACAAACCAGAGGTGCCCGCCCCCCCAGGACTGAAGCTCTCCTGCCAGCAGCTGAGTTTCTATTTCCCCCCCTGACATCCCATTTGGAACAGAAAGAGCCAATTTATCCTGCTGTCCTTTGTTACATGCCAGCCTGTAGCAAATCATAATCCTGCCTTGTACATCCTCACGCCTGTGCTGATTTTCAAGCAGGTGAGTGCACACACGCAGCATCAGGGACTACCTCTGTTCTTTGAATCCGTGATGACTTTGAAGTTGATGGAACTATTCTGACATGCATGCAAGTAACTCAAACACTTCTAAAAAAAGACTGAGTTTTCTAATGCCTTCATCTCTTTTTTTGCCCTTTAAAGCTGCTCATCAATTTCTTCTTTCACAGTTCACAACAGTTTTCCTGCAATGGCCACATTCACCTCTATAACACCAGCGTTTTTCTCCTCTCCCTGTCCCATCAGACTGATGCAGGAGTCCCTGGCAATGCTCAGACATATGGTGGGGATTTGTTACTTGGGGTATAAGGTAAACAAGAGTTTGTAGGATTTTTAGGGATTACTCCCCACTTGTGAATAAGAGGGTTTCTCACTGCTCACAACAACAACATACAACAACCTCACATCGCAGCTGAAACCTTACATACAGCCAGGAATCCAAATAACCAAGAGGAGAAAAAAAAAAAATCCCTCAGCACAAGTCTAAATTTGCCCAGGCTAAAAACCGTAACACACTTGCTCAATTTGTTTGAGCTAATTGGGTTTCCTGGGATCCAGCTCCCAGTGGGATGACTCACAAGCTTCAACAAACTGGAGGCACTGACGAGTCCCAGGGTGCAGACAATAAATTACCTTTTCACATCGAGAAACCCAGATTCAAGTGTGGAAAAGGCAGGGTGTGAGAAAATAAATAGAATCAAGGCGCTCTCATTTGCAACCTGAACGAGCACCTTTGTGTATGTGCAACAAAGCAGTGAAATCCAAATATACAAGCTCAGTTCAACACAGCTGGCAACATCTGGGTTTGGTTTTGTTTTTAAAAGGTGCAGATGCTGTAAAGCACAAGGAGGAAGGAAGGTGAGGACAAAAAGAAGGTGGCCCAGCCCAGCTGTAGGATGAAGGTGCAGTCCCTGCAGCCATCACACCTTTCCAACCTTATTGGTTCCTCACTTCCAGCCAGCTTTGTCACTCATCACGTCTACAGCCACAAAAATGAACTAAAGGATAGAGAGGCTGGTCTGTAACCATCACCCATGGCTATGGGACTACCTGAGGTGACACCCTGGCTTCTATCAGAGCCTCTTGGTTCTCCCAGAGAGAAAACATCCACAGAATTTCGGTTCTTTTTTTGTTTTGTTTTGTTTTTGTTTCTAATCCGGAAATAAATCACAATCAATCTTTGCATTAACCAGTTATTTGTCCTCCCATCCCTGCCGGGGCATGGCCCATTTGCTTCTCCAGCATGAGCTACTTCTGCCAGGCACTCTCAGATGTGTGACTTCAAAGCTGCTGGCAGAATGAGCCTGATGAAAGCCCTGGGAGCTGATCTGAAGCTCCAGTGATTGCCATCCCCTACAGCAAAGCAGGCACCGGGGCTTTTTTTCCTTATTTGCTTCAGCTTGTTTTCCTTATTTGCTTGTTATTTTCCTTCATCTGAGTGTAGAGAATGAGGGTTAAGTATGATAAGGACCTATAAAGTTTTGTGGTTGGGACTTTTGTAGGCTTTTTAGATAAATTGCAGTGGAGTTGAGGCAGGGGTAGTGAGCATAACTTGAAGAGTTAAGCCTGGACTTGAAAAACCAAAGCCTATTTGGAACAAGGGAAGTGCAGGGAGCTGAGGTCTGCACAGCCCAGTGCTCCCACTCACCTCGGATAGACTTGGATCGCGTGCGTGCTCTCTTATCATCATTTTCTAAACTCATCTGCAACAGAAAGAAAAATATCATTACTGAAAGTTAACCAGAAAATCATCAGTAAAGGACAAGCTCGTATGTGGTTGCCACTTTTTGGGTGGCTGGGAAACCTTGCCCATGTTTTTGAGACAGAGGCTTCTTACCTTAATGCTGTTGTTCAACCCACAGTGCGCAGATTTAGCAATTTCAAATTAATTCCCACATCCTGGGACACAGGAAGGACTTTGTCTGTTGAGTAGCACAGAGGGACAAACATCCAGATGTGCTGGCTGTGCATGAGATAACCCTTGTTAAGGACAGAGCTGATTTCTCTGGATTTACAGCACAGAACTGCTGTGAGCACCTGGGTGGAATGCCAACACAGAATCGGAAATCTCTGAGTATGTGTATGAACTGATCTCCTGCCTGAAAAGAGCAATTTTTCACGAGTGCCCTAAAGAACAACCTCTCCTCTCTGCCTAAATTTGCCACAAAGATGACTGCATCTAAATAACTCAAAACGTGGACATCAAACACAAGATCTGCAGGGAACACGGGCATGAATAAGTAACGTCGGGGACTTCAAAGTTCTGGATATTAATTAAACATCACCACATGCCACAAGGTAGCAGAAGTCTGAAGTGCAGTCACCTCTGGGGTACAGCACCTTTGAAACCAGGCAGTGCCTGGAGGTGGGAGCAGGAAAGCAGGGACCTCCGTGACATGGCTGGAATGATACAAATGGGATTTCATTAAAGTTGTCAGAGGAGCTGCTGAAGTGGTCAAAGAACTGTTTTCCATCTCACCCTTGACACAGATGCTCTCTCTGCAGGCAGGAGTGTTTGGTAGTAAATGCCAAGGGGGAATGGCAAGATGGGGCTGTGAGCAGGGCAGGGGATCAGAGACTGCTGAGGTTGGGAAGGCAATTTGGGTTTTACTGCAGCATTACCATGTGGGGCATTCCTCCAGAGATTACAAAGAGAGAGAAAAGGAGATGAAAGAACCATTTACAAGTGGGATTTGACATTAAAAAAAAAAAAAAAAAAATCTCTCTTTGGAATATCCTTTACAGGCCCAGTTAGAGAAGGAACAAACCAGCTCCTGTATCATTCCTAAATGAGGAGTTTCCATGGCTCCAGCACCCCTGACAGAGCAGGCACACCACCTCTGCTCTCTCTGGTCCAGGGGCAGGAAGGGACATGCACGTAGATCATGTGCTGCTCCACTGGCAGTAGGGATGGTGCAGGTAGGGTATGTGCTGCTGGATCCCTACATGCACCCTAAAAACATCTTGAGGAATGCTACTCCCCGTTCCAGCAGAAGGGTCAGGGCTCCTCACCCTCAAAGGAGACACTGCTTGGTGCTTTCCCTGAGGTTTGGGAGCAGCAAAGAGGGAGGGAGGCTGTTGGGGCAGCCAGGGAGAGGGGACTAAGGTCTCCAACCCTTGGGGCATCACAGCTAAAACCCCTCAGAGGAAGGATGAAGTTTTCCCCAGGTGCCTCTCACCTTCCAGAAATTCAGTGTTAGCATGCAATGATTGTTAGATGGAGGGGTTGGAGAGAAAAGAAGAAAAAAAAATAAGGGGGGGGATGAGGGGTGAGGCGAAGCAAAACCTGGAGCAATTTATGCATCCTGTCAGCATTCAGCTCATGGCACGGCAGTGTTGTGCTCCACGTTTATTACAACCTTCCCAATAACACAGCAGACAATTACTATAATTTGTATTTTTAAAGCCCCAGTTCCCTGCGGACCAATGGCTCCCGTTTAAAGTGTGGAGAGGAGCAGGTGTCACAGGGACTTCATTACATTTATGAGCCTCCAACGCCGGCGTGCGCTGAGCTCGCTCCCCGATGCCGCCGCACGCCGCCAACGCAACGGCACCTTGGGTTGCCAGGAGCCTCCAACCAACAGGAATGTCAGAGAGGGCTTTTTCTTGCTTTTTGCTCTCTCTTTTATTCCTTTTTTGACTATTCTCACAGGGAATTGGTGTGTGTTGGGGTGGTGACCAGGCAATATGGGTTTCCTGCAGATCAAAGGGGCGGAGGAGGTCAGGCTGCAGGCAGTGCCTGTGAGGGGCCAGGACCCAAACAGACAGCATGGAAAAGCAAAGTAAAATTTCATTTTTCTTAGACAGACAGGTGGGATGGACTCAAGCTGCTTATCTATAAATAGGGGAGATCCCATTTCAGTTAACATTTGTCTTTGGGAGTTAAATATCATGTGAGCTGCCATGCAGGCTCCTCACTACACCAGAGCACCTCAGTGCAATTCCTCCCATTGCCTCCCATTCCTCTTTCAAGCCATGATCAAACACCTTGGGAAGGCAGGAGCAGATTCAGTCCCCACAGGGACAAAGGGGACAGGAGCCACCTAAGGCAAGAACAGACCCACAGAGTCCCAGAATTCTCAGGGCTGGAAGGGACATCTTGGGACTCAACATTGCTAAGGACCAAAGAATGAAAAAAACCAAATAGGCTGCCTTGTTTGGACTATTATACAAAAAACAAGAAAAAACAAAAAACCCACAAAAAACAAACAACAACAACAAAAAACAAAACAACAGCAACAACAAACCAAAAATACCCAACTCCAAATTTCTAGATTATTGGGAAGACCCCATTACTTGTTTAGAGACCCTGACACAGCCTCACTGCTGTGTATTTATAATGTTTCACTAACATCACAGTTGGGATGGGGTGGGCTCTATGCTCCCAGATTCTGATTTCTACCATCAAGCTACTTTTTTAAGCTTAAACCAACATCAGGATCGTCCTCAAAAATCCTCATTTCCCTCCAAAGTGCAGAAACACCAGAAATAAGATCCATTTCAGAGCTCAGCCCCTGCTCCTCCCAGGCAACCTAAACAACTGGCAGAGCCCTGGCTGTGCTTCTGGAGCCTCTGTGATATCAGGCTCAGATGCAGGAAGGTTACATGAAACCATTGTCCTTTATTGTTGCCTTCTCAGCCAGAAGCCCTCTAGACAGATCATTTTAATGTGAAATTTCAGGTCACACAGTGCATGTTTGCAGTCCTGGAGACCGACAGGCTATTTTCATTAGGTCTCTCTCTTGTTCACGTAACAGCCAGGCTGAGGAGCTGTCTGGATTTCAGTCTTATTGCTTTAACTCTGAATGAAAACAAAGCAGCCCGAAAGGAAACCTGCAAATAAATTATTGCTGCCAGATGCCAGTCACAAGTACATTAGTCTGTCTGAAAAGACAGAGGTTTATTCCACACCTCCTCACCATGGGTTATCTCTAAGATTAAATTAAAATCAGCATCTACCAAGTTTCTTAGCCCAACATTACAGGAAAGGACCCTCTGCTGGGTCTCAGGGTACTCCCTTCAAGATTCAGATCAGTGGTAGTCAGGGTAACCTTGGGAACGTGACTTCATCTCTATGTTTCCCTTTTCCCCCCCTCTTTTCTCTTTAAAAGTAAGAAATGTCCCCTATCCTATTTACCCTGCACTAAGGAGCTCCCTGACATGAACAGAATACAAGTTATAATGAAAATCTGTCAATGTTGCAGACTTAAATCAATGATGTTCAGACAGATAAACTTGAAAAATAGTTTAACCCAAGCACAGCATGAATTTTAACAGCCAGATTCTACAGTCCAGGTCTTGTTCTGCTGCCAAGACAGCAATACAGCACGGATCTGAAGTTTCATTTTATGGAGTACCTACAGGGTTGACATTTTCTTCTTCCTTCTTGTCTTAATACATGTTTCCTTTTCACTGGAAGCCCGAGGAACATAACAGAACACAAACCCATTGGGAGCCCAGCATGTGCTGATGCCCAGGTGTGCCTGGGCTTCGACAGCTCTATGCAAATCTGCCATTAAAGGCCCTGCTGAAATTCCCCCCGGTCAGCAGTAATACTTTATATGTATTCAAGAGCACCACGGAGCTCAGAGAAAATAAACATGCTGAAAAACCCTTCAGCTGGACAAAGGGAGGTGAGGATTCAGCAGGAATATTTCTTTTACACTGAAGGCAGCAGAGCTTCCATCAGTGCTTCTTTTTAGATGTAGCAAAATGCCGATTGCAAGAAGCAGCATCTGAGCTTTGGAGGGACAGACAGACACAGACTGCCTCTATTTTTAGTTTTTAAAACCCCCCAACTTATATTTGCCTAGCAGCAGAAAAAAAATACCAGAATAAATGACTTTTTTTTCCTACAGAATTGTTAAAAAGGGAGTTTCTGCTTGGTTTTTCCCCTCTTGAAGATCATAAGAGTCCCTTCTTTAGTTCCTCAAGGGAAAAGGCAGCAAAACTGCCTCTTACTGAGATGGCCTATCCTGATTTCTCCTCCCTTTTTTCCTTATGAGGAATTCCTCCTTTGCTGTTGCAGGCTGAACACAGGTGGAGAGACCTGGGTCTGGCTCTCCAAATTTCTCCTCTTTCCTCTCTATAAAGTGCCATGGCATCTTTGTTCATTGCAGAAAATGAGGAGGACTTTGTCCTGCTGGACCTTCTCTAGCTGTGAATTTTTAAAATAAATATAAAAGGGGTGATGGAAGAAGAAATACTCTTGATCAACAGTGTGCCTCTACTTTTTAAAAAAGGTTCAATAGTAGCTCCCAGCTGCTATTTTATAACCACACTCTGAGATTAGGAGGATTTTTTTCCCCTCTTCTTCCTTTAGGGTCTTCCTAGCTGCTTGATTTAAATCCCCCTGACATTCCACCTATTGTGAGCCTTGTTCTCAGCTGAATAAGCTCTCCTCTGCCTTTTGCTCTGACTGCTTCCAGGAAAGGACACCCTGCACGGTGTTCCCGGGCTCAGAGTCGGGGAGGGGGGAGGATTTTGCCTTGACATGTCGAGATGCAAACCCACAGCATGTACCCACCTCGAATCTGACACTCCAGCTGTGTCACAAACATCCTCCTGAAGCCGTGCTGTCACTTTGCATTTGCAGAAAGGGTCCAGCCCCCCCAAGAATCACCCAGCTCTGCGAGTGAAGCGCTTCCCGAGCGCTGCTGCTGCTCCGCCGCGATGGCAGCAGCATCCTCCGCACTCGAGGGAAGCGGAGCAGAAAAGCTGCTCCTGAGCATCACGTCTGACACAGGCGCAGCTGCACCGCTGCCTCCACAGCGCTGCCAGCCCAGCATTGGGCTGGCTGATTTCTGAGGCCGTGGTTGGAGTTGACACACACCTTCCTCTCGACTCTTGAGAAGTGCTACAACGCGCAATGCCAACGCCAGAGAGACCTAAGCGGCTCCGTGCGTGCCGACAGCTTTTGTGCCAGAAGAGGAGGGGGAAAAAATTGTAGTTCTTCAATCTCATTGTTTTCCAGCCCTGTGATAAGCCAGCTGCCTTTTCCATGAGGTTATCCTTGAGTGGCACAATGTGAGGGGATTGCTGAGATGCGTCTCTGCGAAGGGGACGGCAGGGTTGGGCTCTGGTGGCCCCACCACCATCCGCTCTACCTGTCCTGACAGCAGTCAGCCCTCACCAGCAACCTGCCTGCTATTCAGCTGCCTGCCAGCTAGATCCCAATGGCACAGGAAAATAGAGATTTGGGAGGCAAAGGTTCATTTTGCCACCAGACACGGTGGTCTGGTGGTCTGGATGAACGCTGGCAGCAGTGTCCAGGCTCCATGCAGAGATCAGCTCTCCTCAGCACTGCAGAGATCTCATTTCAAACCTGTCATGGGAAATTTTATCCCATGCCTGGTCTTCTTTAGAGGCAAAAATAAATAAGTAAACGTGCCCCACATCCCGTTGTCCTTCACCGCTGTACATCCTGTGGATTACGAGCTGTGACTGACATGAAAAACTACATTTAAATACAATATATATTTATGAGCACACAGAGAAGTGCAAGCATGTGCACACAATGCAGATCCAAAGGTTAGAGAGTGATCAGGACCTCTCCCCCGTGAGGTAAGAGAGCTGCACACTTGCACAATATCCAGGCTCCCTTCAGACTCCCCCTCCCCATCCCCTCCTCTCTGCTGAGCCAGGCACTCAGATAAAACACAGATAAGCAGAGCTGAGGATTGCAAGAAATGGTTAATATTCGTGACGTGCTTGTTAGAGACAGAGCACCAGATGAGCGCCAGGTACTGGATGTTACCTTTTGTAATCATTACTTTATTAACATACGACAATCTTATTAAATCTAACCTAAGTGCTTATTTGGCAGGTTCAATAGAAAAGCCTTAATTGAGCTCATTTTAAATATAGCAACAACTGCTTACTCTGCTTTCTAAGAAGGTGTGAGCTTTCCTGGCGACACCTGCATGCAGCTGACAGCTTGTTAGTGAAGAAGGATGCTTTTAAGTGTGGATTTTTGCTGGTTTGGAGTTTTCCCAGGGTTTGGTTTATCTAGGGATACAGGAAGAGTTGGTAACATCAGTCACCCGGGGAAGATTCCTCATCACCCAGGTGGGTCCATCCACTCACTGGAGACGGTGCCTGACTACAGAGAGGCCAAAATAGGACAGGAAGCACCATTTGTGCAGTGAACAGCCCAGTTCTCTGCTTAATTAAAGCTTCCTGATCTGCTGGCAGTGAATCTGCCGGGAGGTTTGACAGCCTTGGCTGTACCCCTTTCATCAGCCACAGCTGCAGCCGTAAATGAGTGGCTGTGTGGAGCCCCAGGAGCTGTCCAGGGTCCCGGTGGAGATGAATGACTCGCTTGTCCCCTCCAAAGGCACCACAGCTTCACCTGGTGTTCAAGGGGCTCCTTCCGACCAGCCGGCGCCTTGGAGAAAGGGCCTATTTTAACAGGCTTGGGAGTGACCTAAATACCCAGATCCGAGCCACCCTTGAAGGATGGCACCAGAGAGGAAGGCAAGGATTTAAATATCTGGACTCCAAGCCAAACTTTGGCAGCTGGAAGCCCTCCCTGCCCGGATTCACTATACAGGAGGTTTGGCAGTAGCAGGAGGACAGAGATTCCCAAGTCCTGCCCGTCACTTTGTGGGTAGCAGAAAGGCTCCCTTCCCCCAGGAGCAGCTGGCCAGAAGGAGCTGGAGCTCGTGTGGCTCTTGTCCCATGGCCAGCTCCTGGAGTGGGGGGGGTCACTGCCCTAAAAGTGTCTGTGCTCGTGTGCTCACCTTGATGCGCGTGCCGCGCAGGCCGGCGGCTCCCTCGCAGCTGCTGATCTTCTCTCCACAGGTCCACCTCTGACTCAGCAGCTCACCCCGAAACTCATTTTCTGGGCAGGGAAAGAGGAAAACAGGGTCAGGACCCAGAGCCAGCCCAGCCCCTCAGCAGCACCAATGATAGGTAGAAATGCAGTGTTTATTCCTGCTTTCTTTAATGGCCATACAGATCCTCAGGGTCTCTCTGCCCCAAGCAGGACCCCAGGGTGCTGTGCCAAGGCAACAACCCAAATCATAAAGAATTTCCACCCTCAGCCTACCCCAAACACTGCAGCTCTGCTTAGCTCAGTCCTCAGTCAGAAAACACACTGTTAACAGTTGAAAATTAGCATTGAAAGACTGGGATGATTCAGTCTTAGGGTGATGTACACCCAAGATGGCACTTAAGATAGGTCACTGTAAAAGTCCTCTTTACGTATTTGTCCTAAAACAGCTGTTCTGAAGTCAAGAGGGCAGCTGGGGGGATTTTTCTGGGTGTCATTTGTGTTAAATACTCCAAACCATGTTTGAAGCACTTTGTTCTGCCCTGGACCTTCAGAAAAGGCTCAGGGCTTGCAGACAAAATCCAAGAGTTGCTGAAACATTATTCTGCTTTGGAGAAGTTCTGAGGAAAGGGAGTGGGGAGGCACAGATGGCCAAGCAGATGATGAAAACCAAAGAAAATGAGGGAAAGAAGCTAGAAATGGACAGAAGAAAGGAGAACAAAGGGGGAAAGTATCAAATAAGAAGAAATAAAGATGTTTCGTTAGCCCATTCATAAATCAGCACTGCCTGCCTGCTTATCTAAAGCATTTCCCTCAGCATCCTTCTCCCAACTGCACATTTTAAAACAGGAACATCCTCTATGGGATGCAATAGGGGCAGGAGCAAAGAGGGTTAAACTATACAAACAGTGGATCCTGAATAACCTGAACGATAGCTTAGAAGATTTTTGAAAGGATGAGATGTCATGAGATTCAACCACAAGGAGGAAAAATTAGCAACATGTGCAGATTCATCCTCTCTGGGGCTGTTTTCTCATGTGAGCCCAAGTAAAAGGTGACTCCTGGAAGCTGCTGTGGCTAAATCTGGCTCAAAGTGCCATCTTATCCTTGCCAAAGGCCCCATCCTAATGTCCCATGCCTTCATCCCTCTAAGGAAGAGGTGAGAAAGGACTGAGTACTGGGGCAAGGAGCCTTGGCCTGGCTGAAGGTGTGTTGGCCACAGCAGCTCAGAGCCTTCCAGCCTGCTCCAGTCTCTCTGCCCAGCCCAGTTGGAATGGCCAAGGCAGCTCTGTCAACACTGGAATCAGATTTCCTCTATTCCATGCTGCTTAAATGCAGCTGGTCTCCAGGGAGGATCAGCTTGCACTGCTGGCTCTGCCATTTCCACCTCCCTCTGGATCCTGGCTTCAGCAGAAAGGAAGCTCACTGGCTGTGTGAAGGACATGGCTGTTAACCCCTGCCTGGGCCACCCACGAGCAGCTGTGGGATTTTGCCTCAAATATGTATTTAGCCCATGGGAAGCAGATCCCAGAGGAGCAGCATATCCTGGGGTCCCCTCCTGGCACTGAGGTTGGACAGTGATAGCTCAGAGCCTGCAGCACTTGCATCCACACCCCTTGGAAAATTACTGAGATGCTCAGCTGGTCTGGTGGATCACATCCCAAAGGAAACCACCAGCTTTCCCCCACCACCTCCCTCCCCAGTGCCATCCACCCAGGCAGGGCTGGAGCATACACAGGCTGCTTTTCTCCAATATTTGTGCCAACCACCACCATCCTCTGCTAAATGAAGCTTTTCCCAAACCTTGAATCTATTTGACCCCTTCTGAGATATCTGCAGCTGTGAACCAAAGCATTGCAAGTTGTGTGGAATCCTGGCACAAAAGAATAAATTCCTTGAAATGTTTGAGTCACCTTCATCCGACCCCAAACAAGATGATGTGGAAACCTGGGAGGGAGACCACAGCAATTTGGAGTGTTAATCAGACTCATGTGTGCTTTGCTTCACATTTCCAAAGAGAGAATAAAGTATTAATTTGCCAGGAAAAAAAAAATTAACCCTCTAAAGAATCACAGAACAGTCCCCCAAAAATAAACACAACAAACCTCATAGGAAGCTTTGGGGTGAGGATGAATAGAAAATGAGGAGGGGGGTGCCTGGTGGCAGTCAGCTCTCCCACATGGCTCCAGAGGAACCCCAGTTGTAGCCCCACCCCATCCCCAAATCTCTGCAGAGGTTACACCTGCTACAGCAAAGTGATGGGGTGAGGGGAAGGTTCTGTAGAGAAAACATGGGGGGTGAAGGCTTCCTTTCCTTGTAAGATTCATCACTGCATATTCAAACTGAAAGACTAGAGGAAAAACATATCAATCTTCATTTGTTCCTCCAAGAGTAAAGAAAGGGAAAAGGAAGGGAGGAAGATTTTTCTTCATTTTTGTTCAGGCCCATTTTTCACGGGGAAGGTGAATCCTGAGCTAAGGAGGCAGCAGCATGCTGAGAGCAGGCTGGGTCCTTCAGCATCCCACCAGACAATGTGAGCCCACTTCTCAGAGCAGACACTGCAGCAGCGTGAGGGATCAGAGGGAGCATTTTGTGGTCCCAACTTTTACGTGAATTTAAAAAAAAAAATCTCAAAACCAAATTTTGCACCTTCTCTAATCTGGAGAAGGCACTCCTGGGCTGCTATACCCCTCTGCACTGCTGGCTGCCTGACATCCCTGCATTTTATAGAAAACAGGGAGAGCAACTTTTTACATGGGTAAATAGTGATAAGATAAGGAGCAACAGCTTAAAACAAAAGCAGAGATTTAGGTTCACTGTTATTCAGAAGGTGGGGAGGCCATGTCACAGGCTGCCCAGAGAAACTGTGGCTGCTCCACCCCTGGGAGTAGGTTGGACAGGGCTTGGAGCATCCAGCAATCATGGAAAGTGTCCCTGACTGGAGAGAATTGGAATAAGATGATCTTTAAGGTCCCAGCCCAGCCCATTCTGTGTTCCTGTGTGATTTTGCAGTTTGTTGCCCACACACACAGCTCTGTGGCCGCTGCCTGGAGAACACCAATAAGTGAATTTACTTCCCTGCGTGGCCCCAAGCCCTCGGTGCAATGAGAGCTTTCCTGCTGGCAGGTGACATGAGCCTTATCTTTGATGTAAAGTCTCAGTCTCAGCTCCAAACTGCAGCACTGAACACCCTCACACAGCCCCAGGACTCAGCACAATCAATTGCCCCACGCTCCTGCCCAACATTTGCCAAGTAAAAACCCCTCTGAGCCATCACCCCACGCACCTCGACCTCCCCACTTGCAGGAACCCTGCAACTCTGCATCAGGGTGCTTTTTACAAAGGAAAGCATTTAAAACCTCTGTAGGAATCAAAATACACGGAACAAGTAGAACCCATTTTTTCAGCAATTCTTCTCCATTCATCTCTGATGCCAGGAGGGCTGGTTTAGCCCCCTCTCAGGCACAGGAATGCTGCCTATTCCAGGCAATTATGTCTGTTTACTGCAGCAGGGCTGTGTTCAGTGCTGCAAATTTAGCTTCCCAAACACGCATTTAATTTAAGATCTAATACCGGATGTTAATTGTATACTGCACAGTAAACGACTGATCATTAAAACATATTAATTGAGGTTTAACAGCTGTGTAATAGATATTACATCTCATACTTATCAGCAAATATGATTTAAAATTAGTTAAGATGGGATGTATGGATGGGAGATCTAGCATGGCTGGCTGGATCGTTGTTTTACTTTGTTCATTTGCTAAACTAAAGGTATTTTCCTTATTACATTTAGAGAGGAGCTGGGAAATCACCAAATCAAATGTTTTGGGTTGGAAAGGACAAAGCTCATCTCATTCCAACCCCCCTGCTATGGGCAGGGACACCTTTCACTATCCCAGGTTGCTCCAAGCCCCATCTAACCTGGCCTTGGACACTTCCAGGGATGGGAATGTTGAGCTTTGACGTTCTCCCCTGGAAGAAGTTCCAATGTTTGTAATCTCCATAAAAGGACAATAAAGGGATCACGAGCAATCTCCTCCTAAAGCTGGGGCTGAGCTGTGGGGACCTGACCCTGTCACTGTGTGTGCTCAGCTCACAGACTTTGCTCCTGAGCTCTCTGCTCCTCATCCCCGCATCGTTCCCAGCCAGGGTTCCTCTCATGGCAGCACAGAGCCTCAGGGTCAGGGTACCTTGCAGCACGACGTGGCTCTCCAGAGACCCAACAACTCATTGCACCAGTGAACTGCATTTGTGATTCCACTGCCCCAACAAACACACAGTGCTGGCTTCACCTACCCTGCCACCAAACCACATGCTGTGACGTCATGAAATCTCTGATGTGCATTCTGACCTTTTATTTTCCCCTTACCCAAAGGAAAGGAAGGGTTTGATTTCAGCAGGAACAAGCCTTTCTCGTGCTTTCCCTGCCAAGCAGCCCCCTGCAGCACAGCGTGCCTTGCTGACACACTGAGCCACTGGCTCAGCACCAGCACAGCTCCGAGGTGTTCGGTGCTGACAGCCAAGTACAGCCTGCGGGTTCTGGGGCACAGGACACAGGAGGGGAGCACCAAACTGTGCTGAGGGAAAGAGGAGAGGTCACCACCAGCACCATGCTGCTGCTTCCCCATTTCCAGCCGCAAGAACCTGCCGCTCTCCTTCCAGCCATTCCTGCAGCCCAGGGAGCATCTCCTGCCTGGCTCCCTCCTCCAGCACTGCCTGGAGCACAAGTGACTCACATCCTCCTTCCCAGCCCCTGCCACCTCACCTCCTGGCTCATCCTGCTTCTGCTGCTGGCAGCTGTCAGCCCCTGTGCTCACCTCAGCCCTGCCAGCTGATGCTTTGTCCTGTCATACCTGGCACCTCTGCATGCTCTTGAGCTCTTTGTCAGCTCCTTGATGGGAACAGGGAATCGCCCCTTCCCCATGGCTCGAGGACAGGACAGGGAGCAACTAGTTGAATCACAAAAAGATTCAAATTTCCCAAACACAAAAAAACATATTGCAATGGGAAGAAGCATGGAAAACTGCTCCTTGGAGAGGAAGCAAAACCCTCAGTGGTGGGGGTCA